ACTCATGTTCGAGTTGGGAAGGTCGGAGAGTAAGATCGTGCCACTTGATGATTACATGTAGTTACACATAGTTCACAAAGACTAGCAACCAAAGAATCAAACCCCATTAGGAATCACCCTGCGACGGTGAAGCTGCGCCGCCGACCTGCCAAGCGACGTCCGGCGGCCCGTGCCAGGCCAGACTGTCATCAGAAGTCGTCTTGCCCGAATAGCAACTGCCGATGGCACGGATAGCAATGCCAAGAAGCGTCGAGTATAGTATGGGGAGAAGGCCTCGGCCAGTTGAGCACCTAGGCGTGCAAGGCCATGTCACGATGGGCTGGGGTTGCCGATACGAGACGTCCTGGGAGCCGCGCCACGGCATGTTCCGACCCAAAGGAAGAGACTTTGCGGGACAATACATTATTGAATATTGGCTGTGACGGTCTGAGTAATGACGAGACATGGCTTATGTGCGTCACACATAGTGACCACGGAGTCCTGACTACTCCCCAGACATGAATACTACCACGGCCACAACTTGCAAGTCATCTCGCACGCTAGCCTCGAAACGCCAAAATCACGCGCCGAGGTAGGGACTACGATGCGCCGATGTGACACGGTAATTGGGAATCGTGGCATTTGCCGCTATGCCGAGACACCGGCACCGTCACCGTTGCGTCGTACAGCCACAGCCGGCGTCGGCAAACCCTCAGGGTCGCTGCACAAGCATCGATTGCATCTTGATTCGTGGGGAACACGTGGGTTGCAATCCACTGGCCCCGGCTGCAGGATTCCTCAACGTGGAGAGACTTGGGGAACTTTTGTGTCCGTGACTGGCAAGGTGTAAGCCGGGCTGTGGCATGTTGGCAAGGGCCGTCCGCCATGGACCTGGAGCGTACAATCAAGGAGCAGAATGACTGGAAACAAAAGTACTTGGAAATAGAGTCGTGGTGATGGTTTCTGCCGCCCCGGTTAGACAACTTACACTCACCACAGAGTTGGTGGAACCAATGGTGTGCCACTCATCACAGAAAATTGGCTGGAAACACATACATACTTTTTCGTAAATTAAAATACTTTCCATAAAGGTAGTAGTACTCAGCCTCTACTATACAATTGACTTGACGGGAATATATCTTGTATTACCAAGTACTTTTAGACACAACGACAGACTGCTCATGCTCTATGCAAAAAGAGTGAATGTAAATTGAAACTAAATACCTATCGCAACACCGTTGCCTGCCAGACATCGGTATAACAAAATTCTGTTGCCTCGAGTGAGCGACTTGGTCCTTGCAAGCTTCCTCCTCCTTTCACTTGTACGGCAATCTGATATTGAACAAAAAGAGTCTTGCCTCTCGCAGACGTCATCGCGAGAGTCAATGATACTTACTCTGCCATCACAATGGTTGGCAGCGGCTCCTCTTTCCCGTATACCCAATGTATATCCTCATGCGTAGCGATAGGCGAAGGCGGAGGCTCTGGTTCAGTTTCTTCCATGTCAAGAAGGGCCGTCGCCAACAAGACGGGAGGTTCGGTTTCTGTCAACTCAAGTACTCCTGCCGTTGCAAGCCGTTTGGCAAGGCGAAAGGCAATGAATGGCTGAAACGAGGGGGCAGACTTTTGGAAGCCTCCGATGCCAAGTTTGAACCAGTGGTCGTATGTGGCTACACCTGCTTTAACCCCCAGGCCGCCAATATCCCACGTGCCCTTTTTCCCCTTCGAGATGGCATCCTGGAGAATGTTGATTACCTGGTTCTTCACGTTGCCGGGCACGTTGGCTAGGCTTTGCCCAAACTTCTTGAGCTGAGCGGCGATTTGCAATTCGACCCATGCCGCGGTACCGACGCCGCCTGTGACCGTGGACAAGGCGCCAACGATGAGGTCCAAAGACCTGACTTCTCTTCCGTAACTCACGTCCCAACCGCCCGCTGCGATGTTGCCTCGAACCTTGTCTTTATTCGATTTCCACTTGGTCATGTTTTGGTTGTTGAGAGAAACTTGGAAAAATGAACAGACAAGATGATTGTGTAGACTGCCTGGTAAGTTGGTAACCCAGAAATAATTCTTATGCAAGATACTAATGGTTGAGCCCGGACACCAGAGGCAAGTAAGACGGATACTTATAGAAGTTGGCAACCTCATCTCATGTTACCGGCAGTTAGTGCTCGTCAACAGCCGAGCGTTGAGCCCAATTTCTACCATTCTCTTGCCGTCTTTCAGCTGAAACCCAGATGACCGTCATTTTAAGTTTACCGCTTTCAGCTGGCACGCCATCGCCAACCAGGGACGAAGCATACAAGGCTATCCGCACTTGTACGTTGCTCCAATTGCGTGCAGCCGCCATCTAGCAGTCAATCCTTACTGGGTCAAAATGTCTCTGGCTCGCGGCCGCGACGACACGAGTTATGCAGCATGGCACCAAAACTATGCAAAAACTATGCATAATCAACGATGGCGCGAACCATCGTGGCGCCCCATACCCTAATCAGCCCTCTCAAGCTGAAAGACATTGTGGCGTCTAGAACATGGCATGTGGCATACCCAGCTAGAAGGCATCTAGGCTGACGGGCTCTTTAGTCTCTAAGTCGTCGTCTGCCTGTCTGCATTATGCGAGATGGCAAGATGAGTGATGTCGCGGCTGGGCTTGCAACGGTAAACAGCATCCACAGTATTTGGTTTGCCGTAACTTTGCGATGCGAAAGTGTATAGCCACCAAAATGTTGTTCATGCCCTATCTTAAGTAGATGCGGAGTAGTCATCTATCAAGATGACCGACTGGAGCGAACTGATTACCTGGGTGTGTTCCTTTTACATAAATCTTCTTGAACGCTATCACTAGATGCTGCAACAATGTGCTCAGTGGCATTGCGGCCTTGAGAGCAAATAGCCACGCGCAGATATCCTGCTATATAACTCCAATACTTTAATTCAAGCATAAGAAGAAATCTTGGCGCAGTCTAGATTCGTATGAAAAGAGCCTGAGGAATGCCCTGTGTACCCTGTCAGACTTCTGTTTCGGCCGAAACTATCAATCTTGGCTCTTTATAATCCCCTTTTGGCTGTTGCAGCTCGCATCCAAGTTATAATTTGTGTCCCATTCATGCCTTATCCATTAGGAAAGTTGCCTTGGAGATGACAAGTTAATGTGATTTCGCTCAGCTCAGACACTAAAGCTCTAGGGTGGGGAAGCATCCTTGTTGATTTTTGAGTTAAAACGCCTTGATTCCTATTAAACAATCTGGGGTGGTCTGAAAACTGCAAGCTTGCGATGCAAGCTTATTTCAGCTGTGCTCAAGGATAACTCTAATCCCATGGTTAAGGTTTTCGCTTAATCCTAACGCCGCAAACTCGGGCGAGTTGAGGATCGAGACCAGAAACGACGTACTGGAGACCGGGGGGGCTTGGTCTGTATGTCAAAGGCCGCAAACTGACTGGAAAATGGCTTTTATGGCATAATTAGCCTTTATTTCGCAGGTACAGAATAAATGTTACGGCAGAGAGAAGAGGCCACACGAGCTCTCCGGATTAACTTTATACTAAATGTGATCTCTGTTGACTAATCTGGATTTTCATGCACTGAGCCACATATATCCCGCATTTTCCGGCTCCTATTTAAGCGGGAGTGTGATGAGTGCTTGTAGACTTGTACCATGAATAATTTATTTATGAGGGGGCAAGTTGTCCAACGCTCGCCATCTTGATTGACCTCAGGATTGGTACTACCCGGAGGAAATACTATATTGGCGACTTCAAAGAGACAATATGTGGCTTACTTAATGTAGAGACAGATCAAATGGTAATGTTGCTGAGATTCATAGGAGAGCAGAAGGGAACCACAACGTGGACAGACTCCAGGAGCTCTAAATAATAAATAAAACATCAGTTTCTGAATAACAAACCGTAACCCCCTGCGCACTAGTATAGCAAATAAAGATGAACCATTTTAACATCCTCCCCAAGAGAGAAATGAAAGTGCCAAAGTGTAGCCTGGTGATGGGCGCTGTGCTGTAGCGGAAAGGTGTGGCATTAATCAGGACAATCTAAAGTATGTAAGGCTGGCGATAACTTCTACAATGCCCTATTTGAATAGTCTCAAGAGTCGCAATAGGCCTTCGGGTTTAGATTGAGGTCAAGGATATTCATCTAAGCTATTCTTGGATAAGACATTTCCTAAGCTCGGTTCTATAGGGTGCGCTAAGAGAATCTCACTAGCTGTGAAAGAAGATGAGAGAAAATATAAAGATAGCAAGTTAGTAATAGGAAAATATAGTAAGGGAAAGTCTTTAAGATAAGTAAGGAAGATTTAAAGAAAATAAGGAATTAAGGAGAGAATTTATCCTAGTGGTATTTCCAGCCAGCTCGGCCCTAGGTACCTCTCAGTTTACAAAGGCTGCTAAATTCGCCTGAACTTGGCTTGAATAATTCCCATCGACTCGACCTAATTTGTCGCTGTGTTGTTGTTGCCACAGACTTCTGTCATGTTGCCAACAAAAGTCGGTTGCCATATTGTCTAGTCTGACTTTAGATGTCTAGAGACCTGTTCATCTCTCAAGGGCTCAGAATTGTCCTCTGGCATTTTCGTCCTGCGTTGGAAAATTGGTTTTGTAATACATGATAATGTTGTATATTGGACAATAACTTGGTTACATGTTGGTCGGTTCAACCTACATGGTGGCATGCCTTGTTGATACTGTCAACATCTCCTTTCCCACCACGTGGCTAAGGTGATAGTCAGATAGTCTATATAATATTGTCCGTCGTCTCGTTCAACGTCTTTTTATATCAAGCGAAACGATCAGGTGGAGAAGTTGGCCATGCTGCTTGCGCCGGCTTGGCCGGCACGTCAGCCACGTCTGACATGTTGGGGAAACCCGGCTCATGCTGCCAGCATCTCCGGAGCAAGAGGGGAAGCTACGCCGAAAAAAAGCCACTCAACACCTGTGTCGAATGATTTTTACGCAAATTATTGAACCCAAAGCTGCTCATACTATATCCCTCGTGGCCTCGTGTTCATCATGGCCCCAGCTACAACCACCCTATCCCAGGTCGATCTTGGAACCAACACCTCTTTCGATGCTGCAAGACACGAAGTGGAAGCTAATATTCCCACTCATTGTATTGTAAGTTGCAGAGCTCAACGCTACGTGGAGTAGACAAGCAATCCGTGGTAGCTCTCCAAGCTTTATCTACAACCGCATCCGGCGGACTCGCCCAACGACGTCGGTTCGATTACGAACTCATTTTGCTCATGCCCAACCTTGCTCACATGACAAGTACCTGAATACCGTCTTTCAAGGCACAATGCTCGTCCAGCGTGTCATCCGCCGCCCCGGCGTCTCGTGGCAAACATGTAAACCGCTGGCCCTCGGGTCCATCCCCCGGAGGACCCTCACATCAGAACAAATGAAAATCGTCCAGTCGACGATCCCTGCGTTGGAGCAGCACGGCATGGCCATCACGAGCCTCCTGCACAAGCGGCTCCTCGACTCGCACCCCGAGCTGAAAAATGTCTTCAACACGACGCACCAAGTCACGGGCGAGCAGCCCGCGGCGCTCGCCCACGCCGTGTGGGCGTACGCATCCAACATTGACAATCCCGCCGCCCTCCAAACGACCCTGTCCCGCATCGGCCACAAGCACGCCAGCCTAGGCATCACCCCGGAGCAGTACCCCATCCTTGGCGAGGGCCTCCTTGCGGCCATCAAGACGGTGCTGGGCGCCGCCGCCGACGACCAAGTCCTGGATGCCTGGGGAGCCGCGTACGAGAAGCTCGCCGAGTACTGTATCCGGTTCGAGGGCGAGCTGTACCTCCAGGCGGCCGCGACCCCGGGGGGCTGGAAGGGCTGGCGCAAGTTCTTCGTCTCGGACAGGGCGCAGGACAGCGACGCAGCCATCACGTCCTTCCACCTGACGCGACGCCGCTCGGCGGGGGCGGCCTGCCAGCGCACAAGCCCGGGCAGTTTGTCACGGTGCGGCGCTTCGTCCCGGAGCTGGCGTCGTACCAGCCGCGGCAGTACGGCGTGTCCGGTGCGCCCGACGGAAAGTCGCTCCGCATCTCGGTCACCAGGGCCGCCGCCTCCGACGCCCGTCCGGCCGGGCGCGTCGCCGGCGTGCTCCATGAGGATCTCCCGGCAGGCGCGGAGCTCGACGTCAGCATGCCCCTCGGCGGCCTGGTGCTCGACGTCAACGCCGCGACGCCCGTGGTGCTCGTGAGCCGCGGGGTCGGGCTGACGCCCGCCATGGCCATGCTCAAGACGCTCGTGGACCAGGCGAGCTGGAGGAGGGTCGTCTTTGTGCATGCCGCGCGCGGTGGCCGCGGGCACGCCATGAAGGCCGCCTTGTCCGAGATTGTCGCCAACAACCCCCAGGTCCGCCGGGCCGTCTTCTACCAAGAGGTGACGGACCGGGACCAGCAGGGCTTCGACTACGACTTTGCGGGGGGGCTTGAGTTGAGTAAAATCAAGGACGTGGTGCTGCTGCCCGGCGCCGACTTCTACATCTGCGGCCCGCTGCCGTTCATAAAGGCGCAGAGCAAGGCTTTGATGTTGATGGGCGTGGACGAGGGGCATGTTCACATGGAGCTGTTTGGCTCGCCTTCTGAATGAGCTTCTCTCCAAGCCTTGTCTTTTTTACGTTGTAGTGTCAACTGTATCTAGGCGTTGATCGGTATGTTCTTTCGTCTATGCTCTACATCCGCTCCGCGCTGTGAACATGTACAAGTGACCAGGAACTGCTTTAGGCCCGTCCAGTTGGGGGGGGGGGGGGGGGGGGGGGGGGGGATAGGTNNNGGGGGGGGGTTTAACATCATCACTGTCACCAGTCGAGAGAGATCAAGATTGAATCATTTACATAGTCAGAGGTTCAGGACCAGTTTCCAACCTTCCCCAAACTATTCGTCCAAAAAAAGCGGCATCTTTCCCCTTGCGGACCAAATTGTGCCAGACTCACGGCAAATATGGAAGCCAGAAGAAGAAAAAGAATAATGGCCGCAAAGGCCAAATCTCCCGGGCCTTGGCCCTAGTCTGCAAAGCCCTCGACAAACAAATACACGGGCACATATTGCTCGCCATTGGTTTCCAACCCGGCAGAGCACCCACATCGCACACACAAACCACGGGTCAAGAGAATCAACAAAGCCCACCGGCTAGAAAGCTACCTAATATAAAGTCTCCTTGCACACGCTGCAACGTCTCGTATATGCACTTCTCATTGCAGATCATCGCGTCATGTTTTTGTGACGTGTATCTCGCTTTTGTGACGAGGAGCCGTGAGTGCAACACAGTCTGCGCCTGTCATGTCATACACGCACCACCTCCCCCTGGCAAGGGTCTCCAATCGGATGGTAAGGGTGTCTATTGGCCGTGAGATACTGTACAAGCTGCATTGCCGCTCTCGTCCTTCCACAGTGTCGAGTGTGCACGTTTCGAGCCTGGCACTCTCGTGACTAAAGGAACAGGCTCGCCATATCCGTCGGTCCCATCGTGCCCCTTGGTCGTTGTAAAATGTCAAACCTAATTTTTGGTTTTGACGACTTTTGCACATCGGAAATCTGACAAAAGCTGCCTGTCTTTGAGTGTTTCCGATGACATGTTGCGTAACTTCCAAATTCAGATGGAGATGCCCCTTTTTCGAGCCGCGGTTGCCCAACAAAGTATACCGAGTTTGGGAGATGATTTGAGAGTGGGATAAATACGGCCGAAGGATGATTGTGTGGCTCGGGCGGCCGAGGACGTCGGTGGGCGTTGTAGTTCGGGCCGTGACACAGGCTGGGTACAAACAGATGCATACCGAGTCAGTAGCAGACACCATCTGCGAAACGGCAAGTCGAAAGTAGATTTCAGCACGGTAGCTAAACAGCTGATAAGCAAACACCAGATGATCATCTCGAACATGGTTAAACCCCCGGTCCGTCGATCAAAACGCCCTTCTCCAGTGGCGCCATCGCTCTCTGGGAGCCCAGGTAATACCTTTTTTTTTTTTTGCTCGTCATAACAGTCATGATGCACGCAGTCCCCTAAATTGCCACCCGTCCATTCCGATTTTGAGCCTCAAAAGCCTCCTTTACTATATCACCGTAGCCTTAGTAGTCGCCAAACTATGCCCATGTGTAAGCTTCTCAGGTTCTCTCCAACTCCAATACGCTGCTCAAGCAAAATGCTAGTCTGTCAGTGTCTGAACGTACAATGCCGAGTTTCTCATTATCCTGAAAAATCCAAACCTCTGCCAAGAATGTCGCTGGAGTCGATCACCACCCATCCGTTGCGGCTGTTGGCGGTCCCTGGCTCGAATCGACGAGGAGTTTCAGCCTCCACAAGGCCCAGGTGCCACTGATCAGTCCTCAAAGTCCCCTTCAAAGGCACCTTCCTCGTCCTCGGTTTCGCCGCTGTTCGGGTCCTCGGTTTCGCGATCCGTTGATTCTCGGGAGAGCCCGCCCATCGCGCTGGGGATCGATGCATGTCGTGAAGTAAAAGCATCGCCTGACGTGCTATTGTTAGCAACCAAAAGCCGACAGGGGAATAGTCATCCCCATCTGGTATTCGAATATTGCAGCACACTTACCGTCTTGGCTCGGCAACGAATGGATCGAGTTGACGCGACTTGCATTGTCAAGGTTGCGAACATATTTCGAGGCCTCGTTCTTTATCCAAATATCAATATTGGGGTCTTGGCAGCTCGCGTGGCTTATCAAAAAGTTCTTCAGCTCAGACGTCTCTTGCAGAAGTTCCATGTATTCCGACTGGAGCTCGGCGTGGACGGATTCCAGCCCCGATTTCTTCTGTTCTAGGTTTTCAGTCCACTGCTTCTTGCGTTTTCGACATTTTGAAGCGGCAACACGGTTTTTTTCTAGGGACCGCTGGCGACGATGCTTTGGCTTGTTTTCCTCCGTCTGCACTTCGATTGTATTGTTGGTGACCTTGGTTGCTCCGCGCTTGGGCTGTGTCCGGGTCTTCGGCACCGCCTTGGCCAGTGTTTCCGTCGGCGTCTTCTTTTTGGTTGATTTTATTGTCGTGCAACTCTTTTTTCGTTTAGCGGGGGGCGTCTTCTTCGGCTTGTCGGATCCATCCTCTGCGGAAAGCACGCTCGACGCCGGCGTCTGGCTGACAAAGTTGGATGAACTAGCAGACGTAGAGGACGCCGGATTCAGTTCGGTCGGGGGGAACAGGAGGCTTGTGTCGAATGGATACAGACTCCCGTCTGACCTCTCGAGTTGATAACCCTTGTGTTCTCCCGACAGCCCGGACAGCGGATAGAACAGGGCATCGCCGTGGATGCCAGCTTGTGGAAACTGGGAGAGGGAGTGCTGGTCTGGACGAAACAACACTGGGTCAACTTCGTTTTCCCCCGCCATCTGTCCAATCAAAAGCTCGGCCGTCGACATGTCGTATTTGGTTGGAGGCTGCGTCGACGATGAGAACGGCGACAAGATACCCGGTGAGACTATTGAATTGCTTGGAGAAAGAAGTGATGATACTATACAAAATGATTTGTAAAGTATTAAGCACTGCCGACTTCCTGCGTCTCAGCCACGGTCGCAATTGCTGGGCAAGGGGAGGAGGGAAGCGTGTTGCAGGGGTAGTAGTTTGCTCGATATGGAACAACTGAGTCTGGCGGATAGAGTAACCCAGTGATTGGCAAAGCCAGTTTTGGAAAGAAAAGTTGAAGTAGTGTTAGAAGGATGAGCTTTGATGTAGAACCAAATTGTTGTCAGTTTCTTTGGACTTTGAACATGGAAGGAGTTCGGGGTCAACAACTTGCATCAGGAGCCTAGAAGACGCCAGACACTGAGACCTCTACGAGCGAACAGGCCTTTTTACACACCCAAAGTTTGACAGCCTGAGGGGTCGTCATGTAGCTTATTGATATCAGTGGCTGTCAAAGTGTGCCGCTGCGAAGGCACTGTGACACTTGGGTGCCTGTCTCGGGCAATTCTGGGAGAAGATCCTCTCCACAAAACGGAAGTAATAAAACCTTGGCAACACTGAATTGGTACGATTTGGCTGCAGGTGTTCCAAACAATTACTTTGATCCGCCTCGGACATTCTCCCGTGGCTTGTTCGTTTGTCGGGGCTTGCCCGTATATGGGAGCTTGTTGTCGCCACCGCATCAGGTCCGTCAAGGGGACCCGAGTCTAGTTCCTCTCCCTACTCATAGCACGACTTACACGCTTGCGCACTGCAGTAGAAATGCTTCTGTGTCTTGAGAGGTCTAGTAGTACCGCCGTGCCGCGCGTTTCACAATGCATGCGACGGCGCCATGCTGGGGCTGGCACTCAGGACAGTGATCTGGCCAAGTCCACAGCCCAGTGAAGCACCAATTGACTTGCTTGCATACTGACAGGCAAGCCGCAATGCCCTGCATGCCCGGAGCCTACTGTCCTCTGGCATTGGCCGTATTGGCCTTTGATAACTTTCAGCCGCCTACACCCAATGAGAACTGTCGGAGCCGCCTCCGATGGTGAGCTGGCCGCCGAGAGCTGGTAGAGCCCAACAGTGAACGGAATCTCAACGCACTCGGAATGATGCGTCATCTCACACAAAGTCACGCGGGCAGTACCTCGAGAAAAGGCACCTTGAGAAGGGGGAACCTCGAGATGGAGGCGCCTCGAGAAGGGCGACCGCTGCCACCCCAGCGTGGGCCACGGTCGTGAGGTCATAGGTGTGTCTGCCGTCGTCTTGTGGCTCACCTCGCACGTCGGCTGTCATCCTTGAACCTGCTTTTCAACAACGAGAACTTCCCATGGTTCAGGCAACAAGCCTCCCCATGCCACAGAAACCAGTAGGGGTTGACTCCGACGCCTCCATGACGAAAATGCGTGTTGCTATTGGTCAAAGTCTGATGCTTCTCCAACCGAAGACCAATGCGGAACAATTTGAGGGCGTACTAACGCCTCGATCTCCCATCTCCCGTTGCTTGGTTCTGTTGTCAAGAGGAGCAGTCAAAGTGTACCCCCAGCGAACGGGTGCGAGGGTGTTCCAGAAGTTGCCCAAGGCAGCCAGACTCATGGAGAACGGAACATTTGGTCCGGATTCACAATTCAAGGCTCCAAATATTTCTCAATGGAAAATTGGCCAATATTACGGATGTGCTCATGTCGAAGTCCCCCTTTCTCATGTTTATGCCTCCCAAGCTTGCTGGACAAAAAGGCCGTTACCCGTGAGCCATAGGTCGTGGACAGTGCGGTGGCAAATGGCGTATCATTGCGATATTTAAACCCATCCGGCGCTGATCTTTGGCCGAAAAGCTACCATTCGCAACTTGCTGCGCCGATAAATTCTTCGTTTTGTCACCGTCGTCCCTGGCATTACCGAGTCAGCGGTGTGCAAGTAACCCCATTCCAAGTCGAGTCGCTAAAGAAACCGCGAGTGGCAAAATCACAGTTGAAGGTTCATAATGAAATGCTTAAATGCAAAATCCCGATCCAATCAACATGGCTTTCCTAGCAACATGGAACATGTGGTGGTGGCAACCTTGCGCAGCACACAGACGTCACACAAACTTCGTCCCATTGGCACCTGCCCGCCACTGAAGTATTTGGCGTAACGGCTCTGAACTTGTCGGCAACGGTTTGTCCGATCGCCGAAGCGGGATAATTGCGGTGCGGTTTTTGGCGCTGTTGCTCACGTGATAGCGTGTTGTTTCCTGCGCGTTTTGAGACGCGCTTCTCTCGAGCCCACGGCGGCAGGGGAGGCATCAACTCTCACGACTGAATTTGGCAATTCTTTCATTACCAGGTTGCCACTAGCCAGTATTGCGACGTTGTCTACTTTTGCGCTTATAGAGGCAATTTAAATCTATACCCCCCAAGATGGCCGAACTCTCCTCTCCGCGCATCACAGCTCCGTATTTGGACAGCTTTGTTGGCCGGCTTGTCACCATTGTAGGCAAGGTCACACAGCTTCGTGGTGACCAAGCCACCATCGATTCTGATGGAATCGTAACCGTGGTGCTCAATCGGGTAAGTTTGCTGGCTCTCTGCTCTCCTTTGACCAGCCATGACTAGATTGACGGATACGAACCGTGTTGTAGGATGCCCACCTAACCAACGGCAACGCCGTTCAACTCATTGGGAAAGTGAATCCCGACTTGTCTATCAAAGTGCTCAGCTCTCTAGATGCTGGCACCGACATTGGTAAGCCGCGTAGAAGGATTGTTCATTTGCACAAGTCCCAACTGTACTGACAGGATGCTAGACTTTGGGCTGTACAATGCAGTGGTTCAAGCTACACATCGGCACAAGGCAATATTTATTTCTGAGAACTAAACACTGAACCTTGTCAACACTGAATATAAATTAAATACTTTCACCTCTGAACTCTGAACAGGTGAACGTTTCTTTGCTCCAACTTGTCACACCGAGGAACCTGGGATTTCTGCCTTCACACTAACCGGCCCTCCAATCGTCAAGGAACCATGCAGGAGCTGTTCATCACTCGGTCGGCAATCCTCCGATGCTAATGTCATACCATACTCACCTGCAGTGGATAACTTGTTTGTTACTAGGATGCCTGTGTCCACAAGATACACGTCACAGACTCGGCACAACTTAGAGTACAGTTCGCATTGCATATAGAATCTCACCTACCGCAAGTTCGACGTGAATTGCTTTTCTTTTATGGCCCCTACATGCTCATCACCCGCGCTAAACACCTTGCGCCGTCCTATATACAAGCTAGTGTTACGACAAACACTATTGGGCAATTCCCGGCTGTTGTTTGGAATGCCCCCTTAACTCATCTGCTGGAAGAGATGCATGGCACCAGCAAAGCTCTCCTCTCCAGACGGTATGATCTGGTCCGGTGGCAGGACAAACCCATACCTACCTTTGTCACGCAGTTCGATTGTGAAGACATTGTCGGCTTTAAGAACGTCTTGGACCCAATCAATAGAGCCACCGGCAACTTGGTAGATGACATTGCAAACTGGACCATATGCGAAGGTGGTTCCGTGGACACTCCTCATAGCGTCAGAAGCACCCTTTGCCAGAGCTTGCAAGGCAGCATTGTTGGGCGTCCTTGCGCTGCACGAGTACCCGTATGCTATTCGAGGGAATGATAACTCGCGTTAGTATTTGTGATTTAGCCCCATTTTGCACGTTTCCCAGAAGCACTGTACGACTTACGTGTCATGAACAGCTGAGAATACGAGTGCCAGTCGATGTATAGCTTGACGCCTTGGCTCTTCTTGATCTTGTCGAGGAAGGCGATGTACGACTTGACTTCTGGGCTGTTGCCCGCAGATGCACCCCGATACGTCTCAGTACAAGGGTTCGTTGATGACCCAGGGCCATCCCACTTGTATGGCCAGTTGCGATTGGGATCCGTGCCGAGACAGCTCGAGCCCTGGTTGCGAGACCGGTTCTTCCTCCACATGCGGTCTGACGACTGCGTGTACTTGAAGCCTGCATCAAATTACATCAGCCATCCCGACCTTCGGCTCTTGTAGAGTAGAGGAGAAAACAAGACGACTGTTCCGTGGGTGTACAATAGACTACTCACCGTCAACATTGACAATGGGGAACATGTAGAAGTCGTACTTGTCCACAACAGCCTTTACGGCGCTGTCGGTAGCGTACTTGGCGAGGAGCTCGTTGGTTATATACTCGAGAGTCTGCCCGGGACATGTCCTTAGCTGGCTTTCTCATCCCCGTTGGCCTTGACAATACGAAACGTACCATAGCAACGATCCATTCGCGCGCATGGACGGTGCCATGAAAAACGACGGCGGGTTTATTGCCGCCACCGCTGCTGCCGAAAATATGCAGGCCCGTTATGGTATTGCCATCACCCGTGGTTCCAGACGTGACACTCTTAACATTGCTCGGGTATTGAGAGGCAATGTCCTTCATCCATTGAAGATGGTCATTGTATGGATGGTACGATGTGAACCAGGAGGCATTAGCCGAGCCGGCTATCACTCACACGAGGGTGTTAAAGTGCTGCACTCTGATATTGCGGTCATGGTCTGGACAGGAACGAGTCGTCACTCACCCGCATATGCCTGGATGGTGCCTTCTCTGGCAATGGAGTCTCCGAGATCCTCATGCATAATCTCGAAGCTGCGCCCTTTCATTGCGTTTTCGAAGGCTGCCAACTGGCTTGGGGCCACCTGGATGTCGGCAAAAGCACCCTTTTTGGAGGGCGGCTGCCAGACATTCAGATTCAAATGATCAATAAGACTCTGGATGTGCGTGCCATCGTCCACGACCGGGACTCGAAAGACCTTGTACCCGTCGTAAGACACAGGGCTCTCAGCCGGCATTGTGGCCGCCGTGGCTACTAGACAGGCGAAGAAAGCAACCACTCTCATGTTGGAAGGACTATTCACAATAGCAGAACGATATCAGGAAACAGAAGTCACGTTTTGAAACGTGTTGCGCCGTATCCATAGGTCAAGAATGAGGCCGCGCCCGTCCCTATTTATTTCTCTCTGTACTTATATATATCCATAAACTAACATGAATCACGGTACCAAGGACACGCATAAGCACTCGTCAGAATGCCTCGCGATTCAGGCATGCACAGCTGCTTGTTCAGAACCGACTCAATCCAGACTTTCACGCAATCTGGATATTGGCTGGAAAAGACTTGAAATATTCCCAGATAGGCAGGTCAACAAGTCAGGCAACCTGCCCTTTCTAGCAAAGCCGCGATGATGTGGCAGGCCAACCCAGGACGAGATTCACAAAAGAACGTGCGCGATGCAGAGCTGATCCCAATGTACCCTCTGAACCAAGCAGTAAAAGCTCGACCCAGAATATGCAGGTAGGCATCCAGTTTGCGGAGAAGGTGACCGTAGCATTGACTGGACTTGGCATGTGGCTTCGTGTTTGGCGTCAGCTCATGCACCCCGACATTTGATCATCTAGCATGGATTCTAGAGTGCTCGAAGCGGCATCAAGACAACGCTCGCATTGCGACCGCGAAATGGGTTCCATGTTCAAATTCCCTAGGGAACTCATCGCGCAGCGGCAGTGACAAGTTGCAGTCAGCGACACAAATACCGACCAAGAAAAGCCAAGGCCCCGAGCAATTTTAAGCTTGTTTTCAAGAAACCTGGTCCTGGTAGACCTGCCATATCTGGCCCAGCGCAACAAGCCACCCATACATGGTCGAGAAACATGGGCGAGTACAGAAGTGCTTCAGTTCTTGTTGTGCCAGAAATAGAAGCAAAATCGTATCCTTCATCTGGACAAAGGGCAACCTAGCATCCATGCCTGCGTACCAAGTCAAACCAGCATCCAGGCCGTATCTTCTGCAACCACCATCGACGCTTTCACAGCCGTCCCATTACCACACAATGCTCCTCAACTTCCTGTTAGATGGTAGCCTGGGTTTTGGTTTTCGTCACAGCTTCTAATTAGACGCTGCATCATCTTGGTTTTGGTCTTTCTCGCTCTTACTCAGAATGGCAGCTCGGCATTCGCATCCACCTGGGCACTATTCTCGCGACGAAACCAACTGTCCGCGTGGCCCGGTACATGATCTAGAATACTTGGACTCGAGCAAGCCTCCTCCCCGGAATACTATTTCACGCTACAAACTCATTGGATAACGCCACCTTGCGAACCCAGAATGGAAGCTACATATGTACCAGTTATCTAGGTAGTGCCTTGGAATCGGCCTTGAATGCGGCCATCACGAGACGCACGTAGGCGTGCAATCATGCTGACCTCATGCACTTTTTGACCCCCACGATTCAACATGCGCTTGGAATTGGGGGTGCGATTCCGCATTAGCTGTCTGGTGTTCTAAAAATACATTGCTCGTCTGATGCGGCGCCAATTCTCTCTACCACCAGTTGGTTCATCTGCACGCTCATAGACGCTCGACACGCCGAGCCCCAACACCAGTCTACTCACTCAGTATACCCTCCAAGACGGCCATCAACTCATCGCCGGCCTCGGGCGGCTGCTTCACAAACTCGGGGCTAAACGGGGTCCTCGTCTCCGCGGTGCAGCGACGCGCACGCCGACTACGGCCGTCCCTCCTGCTCGCGAACAGGTCGTCCATCCAGGCCAGCCACTCGGGAGCCGAAGCCTGCATGAGCGGCGAGTGGTCCTGGCCCCGATACCTCCTCAGGTGCACCTCGTTGCCGTACCGACAGGCATTCCTCCAGGCGGCCTCCGTGGTAGGCGCCAGCACCGAGGTGTCGTTGAGGCCCTGCACCACCAGCACCGGCGCAGGCGACCTGTCCCCCTGCGCGGGCGCCAGCATCCTCTGCCACGCCTCCAGCGTTTCCATGTCCTTGGCCAGCCCTGCCGCCGAGAAGAGCTGTTCCTTGTCCAGGTCCAGGGTCAGGCCCAGCATGCCGCTGATGCACAGCTGGGCCGTCTCCGCCAACTCGAGGCGCCTGCTCATCACATCGCTCAGAAACGCCGGCTGGTACCCCGGCAGCGCCCTCTTGGCCGCAAACGGCAGAAAGGACAAGTACCCCGTAAAGTCGACGCCAGGCCCGCGCAACATGTCGATGATGTAGGTGGCCGGCGCCATGGCCACGGTGCCCAGATAATCAGTGTCGTTGCGAACATACTCGCTCTCGGCGAGCTTCCACACGGCGCCGCCGCCTTGTGAGTGCCCAAACGACACCCACTCCCTCGTCAGCACACGGCCAAACAGCTTGCGTGCCGCCACGACCGAGTAGTAAACGTCGTGTACATGCGCCGGCAGCGTCAGGTACTTGTGCGTCGTGTAGTTGTTGCCGAGCCCAGCGTAGTCGGTCGCGACGACGGCGTACCCCCTCTGCACCGCCGCCTGCCACGTACTGTAGTCGTACAGATCGGGACTGTTGGACGGCGCGCACCCGGCAAACAGGCCGATGGTGCCGTGCGCAAACGCGGCGAGCCGATACCGCGCCGTGCCGTTGTGCGCATACGCAAAGTCCGGCGTGAACGGGAACGCAACGAGCCCCGTCGCCGGCACCGTCCTACCATCCAGGTCCCTGGTCGCGTACTGGATCCGGAACACGGTCGTGCCCGAGTCGACGTTGAGCGTCCGCCCATCCAGGACCTGCACCTTGAGCACGTCGCCCGGCCGCGTCGCCTCGGAAAAGTTGCCCGCCGTCGCGAAGAAGTCAAACGCGAAGTCGTGCCCGACGGCATCTAGGTCCGCCGCGTTGCCGAGACGCAGTATCTGCTGACACTTGGAGCCGCAGCCATGCGCGGCCGCGTACTCGGGCGTGACGTTGAAGTTGGAGTTTGGCAGGCCCGTCGCCGTGCCCAGCGCCGCCAGGAGCGCAGCCACGGAAAGAAACTGCATCGTTGGTCCCTTGTCTATCCAATGTGTGTGTGCCGAGTCGTCTCTGTTCAGCACGACATTACGGCGGCTGTTCACGCCTCCTTATATCCATTTCAGGGGCCCCTCGGTGACACTGTTAGCCCGTACAATCAGCGTCGACATGTTCGGCATCATTCACAACTTCAAAAACCCTCGACGTCACCACTCGAGCTCGTCGCTCGACTGTCGCTGCTCCGCCGCTTGCTCCGCCCAGATCTGTCCATCTATCCGTCCATCGCTCCACCCGTATAGCCAAAGCGCCCTTTCATGTGTAGCCAATGACCCCTACGTAGCGGCTTCCTACGGAGTAGAAAAGTAATAGACACGGCGCCAAGTCCTCCGGCGAACCCACCGGCACTGATCTAACTGGAGTCAATTCCTCATCGGTCATCTCGGTCTCTTCGGGGTCCTCGGGCGCCGCGACAATCCAGGCTGATATATCATTACAATCAGCCATTTCCCAAGTGCCGAGATGCCGTAGATACATCGTGCTCTAGGGAAATGTGTTGTGAGGCGCAGACGTTCCTAACAAAATCTCTAGCAAGCGATAAAATTACCACTATCATAACCCGTGCTGCTATCATACATTACTCCTATTCGTCCATTCCTACCGCCCTCCACCCCTCTACGAATCACGCTGCACCATCCTCGTGAATCCGCAAAAGTTCCTCAGCTACCGCCAAAATCTGCTCCGAGCTCTTTCTCATACGCGTTGCCAAACAGTTGCATGGACTATTTTGGACACGTCCGTCACCTGCCGCGCTGCTCACCCGATCCGAATCTAGCGTCCCATCTTGTGTAGCCGACAGACCATGCAAACACTTTTGAGTTTTGGCCGCCACCATCGTGGCATCGTCTCCTTGCCCGCCATTTTCCTTACCTTCTGTCGCATGGGCGATATGCAGGGCATTAATCGCCCTTCTAATCCCGAGGCTTCCTTCACCAGACGGCTGGTTCGAGTCGTTGTCTTCTTCACCCCCCGTCTTGTGGGGATATGAATCCGCGATGGCGTCTCGGATTTCCTTCAACTTCTCAACAAACTTCTCAAACACTTTGACTCTCCGCTCCGCAGTCTCGGCTCTGTCTTTCCACGTGGCAACATCTCTCTTCGCCTGCCTCAGTTGTTCACTGACGGTTCCAACGTCAGAGTCCTTTTGTGCATCGAGCTGCCTTCTCAGTTGTGCCGCTTCGTCCGTCTTTGAAGATAGCTGGCGCTGGAGATTGCGAATCTGAGAATATAGAACCGTAGCACTTCGAGGTCGAGGAGTCTGCGTCGTGGAAACTATGTCCAGAACTGCGCTAGGGTCCGGTTCCTGCATTGGAATTGGCGACGAGAGCGGCCGAGCCAAATTCAGATGATGTGCGATGGGCGGCTGTTCGCGGCAAGGCAACATGGTGCCCAGGCTTGGGACTGCCTTCAGTGCCTTCTCGTCTACCGCGCTGGTCCCCGTCTTTCCGAGAAACCTTGAAGGACTGTAGAAGGTGGCATCCTGAAAACCTCCATCCATGTCCCTCTCCAAACATGGTCCTTTGAGCCTGTCATTAAGTATACCTCTGACAACTTGGTGGAGCTCAACTCCCTGTCCTCTTGTCGCACTTCCCTCAGGGTTTCTTTGCGGTGGTTCAATCAACGGATCAAAGACGTGATGCGTCCACGCCGAATCTGACTTCGAATGCCTATCTCGGGAGTGCATTTTGCTTCCTTTCTGTGCTGCAATTGAGTCTTCCCTAAAGATTGGTGATTGTCGGTCAGTGCTTTGGTTTTCGAACATTGCTGCCATTGTTTTAACGGACCCGCGTTTGCTTAGTCCCTTGGACTCGGTAGACTCTGTTGGTGATTCCAGGGTAATTGTGGTATGACTCCTCAAATTCTCATGTGACTTCGATAGTCTCGGCTTGTGTATTACAGTAGGCCGCTTCTGTGTAATCGCACACTGTCGAATGCCATCGAGATACATCCTGGGCTCATTTTCCAGCGCCTTCCCATACGCATAGAAGCGTTCAGGAGTAACGTCAATCGAGCGCCGGGCCTCACTCTCCCGAAACATATCGCACTGGACACCTTGGTCTTGAGACGTGTACGATGTCCCAATGCCAAGAGTGGCAGACCTATCTTGGACGTCCTCCACCTTGGCGTTTAGAGGAGGGCTTTTTTGAACAAGCCGAATACCCCCTTCAGGCATCTCTATTGGGCTCATAAGCGATGGTGAAGCAGGACTCATGCGACCTGGTGATGGCTTCGCGGATCCGCTTTGCACGGTAGACGCCAGTGACAGCCGTCTTGCTCTTGGTGTTGGCCCAGAGCGACTTGAATCCAACGCAACGTCATCCAACAATCTTGGCGAGTTTACGCTTTTCTGTGAAGTCGGTCGTCGCAAGGGTCTATCAATACCATCGTGTGATGCCACATTTCTCGATGATTCTCTGGGCGGAACACTCTCAAGATATACTTGTGCGGGCTCCGCACTTGAATCAACTTCACCAGCAACATTGTCTTCCTCGGCTGTTGGAGCAGGGCCAGAACGCGGCTCGCCTTCCACAGCTCCTTGGGGTTTATCATCAGTATTGGCTATGGTTGCAGCCTCATTGTATTTGCGGTTTTCTTCCGCCTTTTGTAATCGCTGAATGACACTCTCCTTGTTATGATGGGTTTCGTTTCCGTCAGTGGACTCATCGTCTCCCATGCTCTCTTCTTTAGTGGGACTCAACGTGGCAATGCTAATTTTGGGTTTTAGCCTTTGAGAGGTTGTTCGCCTTAGACCTTTCACTCGTCGCTTCCTTTGTCCATGTATCGGCGATTCGAACTCTTCGTGCCGCTCATTCCCTTCGTTTCTCATCATTTCACCATCTCCTTTATCAAAATTCTTAGGAACTCTCAAGTTGAAGCCCGGCGGAGACGGAAACTTCTCATCCTTGCTAACCAGGTCCACCACCGACGTATCCTTCCGACAGTGTGTACCAAGGGACTTCATCTGGCGGACCACATCTCTCCAATTGGCGATCAACATTTCTGTTATGCTGTTGGCTACCAGTATCTTGTCAACAGTGGGTGGCCCTAAAGTCTTGGTATCGACCTGAGTCGACTTTCGTCGGTCCCTTCGGAATCGAGGAGGACTCAGTGGAAACAGTAGCAATCCCGTGCTCGGAGTCGCAACTTTCATGGTGTATTGGTCCAGCAGGTTTCCGACCAGCAATGGACCAAAGACAATGCCCAGTGCATTGTAACCCATCAAATCTGCCGTGGGAAGAGGTCTACTATCTTCATCTTCCCGGGGAGCAACTTCCGCAACCCGCCCAATGAGGCTTAACAGGCCGAATACAGCGCATATCATTTCTCTGCGATACTGCGATTTGATGGTACCTATCGCCAAAGCAATCAATCGTGCCCTGACCTTGGTTTGTTTTGTTCGGGGATATTCTGGCTCTCCATTAAGCTGAGAGTGAATAGCTATCAATGCGTCCAGGAGAGTCAGTGATCCCAGAATGCCCCCGGGCAACACAGAAAGTAAACGCTTGAAGGTAGATGCCACGTCGTGGACAGAGTACTGAATGTGCAGAGGCAAGGTAGCGCAGCGCACAGTGCTCGCAATGTTAACATGTGCACTCTCAAAACAGTAGTAGTCAAACAAAGCGCTGATGACTTTTGAAGATCCGGGAACGCGAAATAACCCTCGAGTTGCAACGTTTTGAGCCAAATGCTGCGCCGTTGCTCTAATGCAAGTCGGCAAAATGAGAGAACACGGCGAGTACTCTTGGGGAAGGTAAAGCATGCTTTTACCACTGAGTCGCACCATGTCTTGGATCTCGATGATTCTGGGGGCCTCTCTTCTGCAGTGTATGATATGTGCCAGTTCGGAAACACTTCGTTTGTGTCGTATCTGTGGAGGCGGCGGCAACGTCGAAGCATTATGAGGGAATGGGCTAGGGCTCGGCCGAAGAAGTCTCGACAGCCAGCCTCTCTTTTCTCGGCATCGTGCCGCATCTCCCTAGTGCTACCGATCAGACACGACGAACAACGTCTAGGGATGTATCGATGACCTACCTGTTGATGGACATCAAAGTCATCACTCATCAACTGTCTTACGCCATGCTATGCGATTTTGTGAGCTTGGACACTGTTCTGTTCTCTCGGGTAGCAGTAAAGAACTCACCTTTTTAGCAAGCCTATTATATTCCTGGACAAACACATCTCTGTCATCCACCTCATCCGCGTTGCTGAGAAGGCCGAGCTCGCCACTACTCGTGGTCCAAGTACCACTGCTCCGTACCCTACTACCATGACCGAAGCTCTGATAGCTAGCGCTCTGTGGTAGGAAGAGAGAGACTGAGCTGGCGGAATGGGGTAGTCGACGTGGGTGGTATGCAGACCAGGCACGGAGATTCTGAGATGAATGCGACGTCCCGAGTGGGTGAGCCATGGAATACTTGGTAATTTGTTGGAAGTTGGAATGAATACCAGAGTTGCGATGATTGCATACTCGCGTGTTGATGCCGTGTTTGCCTTGTATGCCAATGCCCTTGCGAGGCGTTGCCAGCTGGCATGGTTGTCGGGTGACTGGCAACGTTCAGTCGCTCTCAATGCCAAACGCAAAGCACCGTCTGTCCTTCCTTCCTTCCTAGTAGGTACTCCATCACTTGGTGAATTGCTCGGCAGGCTTACTCTTTTTACTAGGTGCGCTTACCCCCCTGCTATTTGCTGTATTTAAACTCCCCTTATATGTGAATTATTATAGTAAAATATATTATATATATATACTTCAATAACTATAGTATAATATACTTACTTATTATAAAAGATATACTAATATATAATATATAATATATAATATAAAGCCAAATAGCCAGGTTCCTGGCGAGGCGTGAGCGCCCTTACTTAGCAAAAAGAGTAAGCCTGCCGAGCAATTCTCATCACTTTGCAGGGCCAAGTTATCGATTCAAGCAAGCACCGGATTGATTCAGGCAGGAAACGGGAAAAGCTCGGGGGAGCTCTCCAGTTCACCCCTGATGCATATTGTTCACAAAATATGATAGAAAAGTGGATGGGCTGTCATTCGACATCGCGCATTGATGGGTATGGTATTCAAGTAACAGCTACCAAATCCCTACCTACCTGGTACTAGGTAAGTACCACACAAACAAATGTCAGCAAACCAGTTGATAACATGTGTGCACCTCCTCAAGCTACTATCTATCATGATGTGTAAAACAATTTTTCTTTCCCTCCATATATCAACGTTGTATCACCATTCGATTAACAACCCAATGCGCCGAGCCAAAAAAAAAGCGGGGAAATGCCGTCGAATTCCTTGATCCTTGCTTTCTCTATTGCGGCCTCTAGGGCTAAAAAGAGACATGTCATGCCATCATGTAGTGTTTCCAAACATCCTCCACCATATCTCGGCTAGCTTTGAGGCGAGTCCTCTTCCCCTTGGATGAGCACGTATTTGAGGATATCAGATAGTGAAATGACACCCTTCAGTTTGTTGTCGTCGTCGATAACAATCAGTCTGTGTACTCGGCTCTTTCGGATCGTGTCAAACAATGAATCCAGTCGATCCCCCTCCCCGCATGTGTAGATACCTGGGCTGTCTTCTGGCCGTTTGCACAGTGCCTCCCCGATCGATCCATCCAGTTCCTCGTATGCACCCCCTCTAATGCAGGGAATGACGTCGACCGCCTCAAAGGCATTCAGGACCCGGTTTTCCGAGTCCACAATCGGGATACAGCTAATGTTTCTATCGACCATCAGGTGGATGGCATCCAGAACCGTATTATCCATGTGCATGGTGGCCAGGTTGGAATAGGTGCCCAGGCCAATCTCTCGAACCGTCTTTTTGAGCATTACAGTGTTGTGTTCGTTATTGACAGCGATGAACTTGAGGATACGATATTGAGTAATGACGGATATGACCGTCTCTCTGCCTGTCTCGTCGTCTATATCCACGAGGGGAATACGTCGCGCACGAGTCTTAAGCATGCGTCGGCACGCCTCGTAAAGCGGTCGAGATGGATGCACAGATACCGTTTCGATTGGAGTGGCACCTATTGCCTTTTCGATATCTAAGCCAACCTGTCTTAGCATGCATACGGCGGGTCCGACGGCTTTTCCCACTGTTTCTTGGTGCAAAATAGTCTCACCTCGCAGACTACTCAACCGAAACTGGTCAAGCTTGCTCATCTCGTCTGGAAATTGGCAGTAATATTGAATGACGTTGATATAATCAGTGGCCGTCAGTATGCCGGCAAAACGTCCTCTCTGTGAGTCCCATAGCGGCGCAGAAACGATTGCTGATGCGAAGCAGATTAGCCAAAGAGCGAGCAGTTGTTTGGGCTGTCTTGGGCGGCCATGGGTAGCAAACGGTGCAAAGGCAGACTCACTATTTTGTATTAAGATATTAAGCGTCTTCTTGATGAGGAGGTCGGTGTCCAAGACAATGAGACGGAAGGATAGCGGCAGGACATCGTAGCTGGTGCGAACCTTGAGAAAGTCCCGAATCGCTTTCTGGAAGAGACAGTTAGCCTTTGTGCGACGTCGGAAAGGGCCTCGCTAGGCCCACGAGAGGAATTGCCGAGAAGGAGGCACAAAGCGAATGGTCCATACCAGTCCTTGACGTTGTTCCTTATCAAGCGGGCTCGGCGGGCTCAGTGTGCTCGGGTTCGAGGTCGGCTCAGATGCAGCTGCTGCCATGGCGCTGCCGTGCGAGGTCTTGAAACGGAGATAGGACGAGGGAGCGACAAATCGAGGCACACGGAGGGCGGGTTGCTCGTGGCCGTGGCCGTGGCCGTGACTGGGAGCGGCAGCGGGAGCGGGAGCTGAACGGGGAGCTGTTGCGGTAGCGGGAGCTCGTCCAGGAACCGGCGCCGTAGTAATTGACCGAGTCGCAGGATTTGATGCTTGTGCTTGTGCTCTGGCTGCCGTTGGTGGTTGTGCTGATGGAGGTGGTTCCTCAGCGGATGGTCCAGACCCAAGTCCCGGTGCCAGCCCAGACATGGCGCCAGTGACCTGCTCACGGGACGCAATCTGGGCTTCGACATTGGTCTGCGTGGGGTCGGCGGCAGGTTGGACGCTGGGGGGCGCCGCTGCGGCATCTCTTTCGTCCATTCGAGGTATCGGGCAGCTGTGTGTCCGGTGTATGGCGTATCGTTGTGTGGCCTCGCGCGTCACAGGTGGTTTTGGACGGTTTGTAGCAGTTGGCCCGGCACCTGGGTGATTATGGTGATGGTCGAATGGTGGAGGGGGAGGGGGAGGGGGCACCGGACCCAAGACACCGAGACAGTTGCAAGCAAGCTTCTCAACATCTACTTCGTACCATGGTGGGGAAACCAACCGTTGACATCTGGCACTTCAAATGGCTTCAGACGTCGCCCGTTATCGCGGTAGTACCTGGGCAGAAATTTTGGAAAGGCATCATCCGATTCTTCCCAACGTTCTAGGGCCGTGCTAGGAGAGTTTAAGGGCATGCGGTTCAAATAGCTTAATTCACAGGGCTAGCGATTATCGAGCACCATGTGCATGCATATTATGTGGGTGCGAGTTGCGAAGCCATCTCGCCTGCGGCTACACTGCCCTACCCTAGAGCGAGGCTGCCAGCGATCGATTTTCTGCCCCAGCTGGTAAACACCCTCCAATGTCAATTTCACACCATCGTGGGGTAGGTATTCAGGTTAACAGTGTACCTTGTAAATACGGACTATGTACGGAGTAGCCATCTGGGACAAGAGTATCCCAGACCTGCCGAGTACTGCACAGTGGTGGAACATCACCCGCGCACAAGGATACACCCTTGATCGCACAGCGTCACATGGACCACCCAATCATGTAAAGATGGCGCCACAGTCTGTACGTGCGTCTCACCCAGCGGGCACTGGCGACTTGATTGTGGACTAGCACAACACTGGTAATCAAATAATTACCAGACGGGATGGTCCCCTGGCCATCGATAGTGCAAGTCTGGGGCAAACATTGAATGCTTTGGTCGGAATGCCAATTGTACGCACAGCAGGGCGGGGCGTTTTAACGTTTAGACAGCTCGGATAGTCCCTGTGGGGTTGACGAGAGGCGACGACCAATGTGTGCGCTCCAAGCAACACTCACAACCTTGGTGAAGACGATCCATGGGAAATATATCCAGCATGGGATGTGCTCGGGGCTTTGTTGTCGTAGTGGTGGCGCGCGATGACAACGAGAGGGTGTAATCGGCAGTAGAAATGCAATGCTGTGCACTACATGATCACAGACGAGGGCCGTCTTGGGGCACGATGACTGCGCGTTGCGGCCTGCGTCAAGTTTCCCCGAACACAAGGTACTTAGTAGGTAGTAGTGCCACGATCTCCTCGCTGGTGGCTCCTGGACAAAAATAAAGAAATGAATTTCTCGGCAAAGCTATCAATGAAGCAAGTACAGTCTGATGCCAGGAGGCATTCGTATTTTCCCGAGATTCTAGTGCATTGCACCGACACGCGCGCCGAAGCATAGCCAGGTGCAGAAGTACATGGACGCATGCACGGTTAAGTGATCCATCTCACGCGCGCTCCCGGCACACGTGCGTTTTTTTTGTTTCTTTTCGTTCTATTGCTTGCCTGAAGCGCTTTGAATGTACGGGGGCATAGCATGCCACCGAAAACACAAGAGGTTGCAGAGACGCATTAAAGCGACAAAAACCACCGTGGTCGGAGTTGCTTGCGAGCCTTCAGACTTGGACACGGAGATGAGCAGGCGCCAAGTCGGAGCAACCCTTGACAATCAATCACGGTACGGAGTACGGAGTACACGGTATTGATTGTACGGAGCTCTGCCAGGCGTCATATTTATTGTTAGCCGGCTGGGGTTCAGGCAAGTGAGCAGGGGGCCTATCCAGCCCTTGCTTTCCCGCATGTCCTCCCAGGCAAGCACTTGGGACACTTGAGTGGAATTGACATGCCAGAGTACGGGCTGGTGGAGGACGAGTTGTGAGTGCTCTCGTGGCCATGATTCAATGTGCGGCACGTAATGTGGAGCGAGCGAGCTGCAGTGTGGCGCATGGACAATGAGAGACGGTCGAAGATTGAGTTGAGACGTCGTTGACGCTGGCCGTTGACATGTACATGTCTGATTTTGAGAGGGCTAGACGTGGCGTAGAGAAAAGAACATTGAAGGCCTGGCGCGCAAGCCAAGGCCTCCAAGGGCAGATTGACGTTCAGACATGGATGGATGAATGTCCAGATGTCCAAGGGGCCAACTGGTCCCTCGAGGCCGGGGGCGACTAATGAAGTTACCTTGAATGCATTGCGTGCCATCAACCAGACTGGCGACTCGGGCGGTCCAATTGCAACCGACCCTATTAAGGACGACCAGACTCAATGTCCCTTGCTACTAGCTGGTCGTCCGTACTACCGCCTACAGTTACCCACATGGAGTGTAGCCTTGCTCCAGACATGGATGTCCAGATGGCGATTGACGCCAAGTGCTCCAAGCCAGTGCCAGTGCTCCCTTCTAAAGTTGCCGGCACTCACAGCCCCAGCCTTGAATGCCACGCCGCGCCCGTCGCCCGGTCCTCTGGTCCCAGGCTCAGTTCCAGTCCCAGGACTCAACACCAGACTCGCCTTGTCCACATGCACACATACCATCCTCACCCCCCCGCCAACCTGCTTCACTTTGGAAGCTTGCCAACAATCACCAGAGCTCACTGGTCTCGTCCCCTCGACTCCATCACGCCGCGCTTGCGATCGACTTCAGCTCAGCCTGACCCATAAGCTGCCGGGGTTCCTGGGTAAGCAGCCGGTTGCTGAGCTGTGACGGAACCTAACGCTAGGAACAATCCGCTGTTGCTCCGACCTTGAGGCACATCACCAGCCCGCATCATCGTCATCAACATCTTGTCATCCACAACACCGCTCCATCCGCTGCCATCCGGACAACTGCACATTGTTTGCCGTCCCAGTCATGGGTAACTGCTGCTCATCATGCTGTGGAGGTACGCTGTTTTCCCTTCTCCCGACCCGTCTGCCAAGGTGTTTACGGTAACAAGAACTGACGCGACTCATCCTAGGCCGCTCCCGCGAAGGTCTGTACGAGCCTGTTTTGGCCGATAGCGAGCGCGAGGCCGTCGCCGACCTGTTACAATATCTCGAAAACGTTCGTATCTAGACCGCCGTAATGGCACCACGACACCGCTCTCGTCTTGCCATGCTGACTGAACTTGCAGCGTGGAGAGACCAACTTCTTCTCCGGAGAACCACTCAGGGCTCTTAGTACCTTGGTCTTTTCAGAAAATATAGACTTGCAACGCAGTGCAAGTCTTACCTTTGCCGAAATCACTGAGAGAGGTAGGCCTGCAAAGCCAGACCCGTTGAATCATGCCTGTCTGTCCATGCTCCATGATGCTAATACCCCCGCGCCCCAGATGTACGAGAGGTTGACCGAGACACACTGGAACCCATTCTCTTCCTGTTACAAAGCCCCGATATCGAAGTTCAGAGAGCCGCTAGTGCCGCCCTAGGCAACCTTGCCGTCAACAGTATGTGCCTTGACAAAGACCTCATCTGCATGCCCTACGATTAACCACGTACCTACAGCTGAGAACAAGGTCATAATCGTCCAGCTTGGAGGATTAACACCGCTCATCCGACAGATGCTATCGCCAAATGTTGAGGTCCAGTGCAATGCCGTAGGATGCATCACCAACTTGGCTACACATGAAGAAAATAAGGCCAAGATTGCACGGTCTGGTGCCCTGGGCCCCCTGACGAGGCTTGCCAAATCCCGAGATATGCGTGTGCAGCGGAACGCTACCGGTGCTCTCCTCAACATGACACATTCTGGTATGTCACCAGACCTTTCTACTTTCTTCTGGACAATTCGCTAACGCGGACGAATGCTATAGATGAGAACCGACAGCAGCTCGTTAACGCCGGCGCTATTCCCGTCCTAGTTCAGCTCCTCTCTTCTCCCGATGTTGATGTACAGTACTACTGCACTACCGCCCTCAGTAACATTGCCGTTGACGCCAATAACCGACGAAAGCTGTCGTCCACTGAACCAAAACTCGTCCAATCCCTGGTCCATCTCATGGACTCCTCGTCCCCAAAGGTCCAATGTCAGGCTGCGTTGGCCCTGCGAAACCTTGCGTCCGATGAAAAGTACCAAATTGAGATTGTCCGAGTCCAAGGCTTACCCCCGCTCCTTCGTCTCCTTCAGTCATCTTACCTTCCCTTGATACTGTCGGCTGTTGCTTGTATACGAAACATCTCCATACACCCAATGAATGAATCGCCCATCATTGACGCCAACTTCCTCAAGCCACTAGTCGACTTGCTCGGATCCACCGACAACGAAGAGATTCAATGCCACGCCATTTCAACTTTGCGCAACCTGGCAGCCAGCTCAGACCGAAACAAGGCTCTGGTATTGGACGCCGGCGCTGTCCAGAAGTGTAAACAGCTGGTGCTTGATGTGCCGGTGACGGTACAGTCGGAAATGACGGCTGCCATTGCAGTTTTGGCTCTTAGCGACGATCTCAAGTCGCATCTTCTCAATCTCGGAGTGTGCGATGTCCTCATACCCTTGACTCATTCGCCCAGCATCGAGGTTCAAGGCAACAGTGCTGCTGCCTTGGGTAACTTGTCCTCCAAAGGTATGTTTCATAAGTGCTTTAGTATTCTACCGGCCCTGTGCTCATGCATCATGTTAGTCGGCGACTATTCAATCTTTGTTCAAAATTGGAACGATCCAAATGGAGGAATACACGGATATCTTAGCCGATTCCTGCAATCAGGTGACGCCACATTCCAGCATATTGCAGTCTGGACCTTGTTGCAATTATTCGAGTCTGAAGATAAGACTTTGATTGGTCATATTGGCAAAGCCGACGACATTATCGAGAACATCCGAGCTATTGCAAACCGACAAGTCGAAGCTGAGCCCGAGTTTGAAGACGAGGATGAGGGCGAAGTGGTGAATTTGGCTCAACGTTGCCTGGAACTGTTGGGTCAGAGCATGTCTAAAGCCCACATCGAGGGCTAAATCTCGCAGCTGGCACAGCATTGCCTGCCAAGCGACAGCGCATTCCTCGGTCCACCGGCAGACGAAGCAACTTCTGACTCTGGCGGCTATGTACACCACTGTTACTGGATCAGTATGGCCGATAATATTGTAAAAGGCATAAGTGATTTCCCAAGGCGTCTGGGGCTGTTATATCCAATTACTACCGAGAGAGAAGGGTTTCTCTCACCAACTACTGTTCCCCCCTCACATCCAACCTTTGATATGATCAAGTCCCGTTTTGTTGCATCCATCATTTTCTCTCTGTCTCTTTGCGCTACAACCGCCTGGCGACATCTGGCGAGAAGGGCGTTGTCACGTTTGCCAGAGTATTCGTGGGCGCAAGGTAGTCATGTGATTGGGAGGCATCTCGGGGTCACTCTTCTTTTGTACAAAGCATATTTGGTTTGGCGAAGGACGTTTATTAGCCTAGCATTGAGTTTTTTTTTCTAATTTGCAATTTTCCTTTTACAGGGGATGAATATGCGGAGGCAAAGCATTCAGGCGGCAGCTGTAATTAGATAAAGTTTACAAGCCTTGTTTTATTATACCCAGTTAACCTAATTTGCCCGTATGTATCCTGCAGTGACGTGGGGCTCCTTGTAGATGAACCCGTAACGCCATAATTTACAGTGTCAATATTACCAGAGAGTATCATAATGTGAAAAGCAGGCTTTAATCATGGTTCATTCGCTCGAATCCGCTATCAAACCATTTTCTCTCTCGCCAGGGCAAAATCTTGGCAACGACCTTGCCTTGAATAAGAGCCAGCGGCAGTGGCCCAAACTGTCTCGAGTCTCTCGAAGCCGGCAGATTATCACCTACTATCCAACAATGGCCCTGGGGAACCTGTCAACGGCCAAGTCAACTCTTGCACCAAGAAACCGCAAAACTCGGGGTCAACAAATCATAGTACCTGTATCATCTGGTCCTCCCCATTCTCCCCAGGTGTACCCAGCGACACGTAGTCGCCTGGCATGCCGACTACCCTCTTGACGCCGTTCTGGCTCGCGAAGATGGGGATCTTGTAGAGAACCAGGTCGCCTGTGGTTATGCCGCGGCCCAGGCGGTGACGCATGTCTGCGGCGATCCAGTCCCCGTCTACTGTGAAGGTGGGTAGCATGGAGGGCCCTTGGGCAGGGGATATTTGGACGAGCTGCGTGAGGGTGAGGTGGGCGAGGCAAGTCATTTTGAGGGTTGACAGGGCGAAGCGGATGGGGTGGCCGAGGAGGTGGGTGAACATGATTGAGGGCGGGGTGAGGCGCGGCGGTTACATTGGAGTTGGGTAGACGGGTTTTCCCCTGGAGGAGAGGGGAGGGATAATTGAGCTGGTGAACGGTGATGACCTTGCTGAGTGATGCGCGATCTGGACGTTGAAGGATCGACTGCCGACCGCCAATGTCTGGTGGATGTGGAGGTGAGCCCGCTGGCCGGGGTTGCTATTGGCTGGGCGAAGAGCTCGTGTGACATGACGATTTCACCACCCGCTGCAGATTAACCTCCCAACTCCAAGCTTTAAAGCTCCATCTCCCTCCTGTTTCCTCACTTGCAACCCCCAAAAGACTCAATTGGCCTGCAGACGACGGGCTGTGGCAGACCGTTCGACGAGCACCGCAATGAGACCAATGCCACAATGCGTATACAATTCTCGGCGCGCTCTCTACCGGGTCTTTGTCTCCCCGTCTGAGGCACCGGCTCTGTCCATCGTCTCGCGACTTCAGCTCTCCCCTCTCCCGGCACCGCACAGGAACGCCCTCACAGCGACCCAGGTCCGGAGGTACGCGGCCAAGCCGCCGGCCCGCGGGCCTCGCGGCCAGACCTCCGTCGCCGCCGCGGAGCAGCTCGCCCACGACAACCGCGGCTTCGACAAGCGCTACACGACGCAGCAGGACATTGCGCGCTCGGGACGCGACCGCCCGCCGCAGGACCACGAGATCACCGACCCGCAGATCATGGTCATTGACAACGGCGCCACCGAAGGGCCCCTCGCCACGTCCTTTGTCCTCACGAGGCTCGAGCCGCACGAGTCCCTGCGCATGGTGCAGCCGTACGTGCCCGCGGATCCCAAGAACGGCCGGCCCGGCGCCCAGTGGGCCGTGTGCAAGATCGTCAACAAGCGCGACGAGTACGAGCGCCAGAAGCAGCTCAAGGAGAAGAAGAAGGCGGGCGTGGGCAAGCCCAAGACCAAGGAGCTGGAGCTGACGTGGGCGATTGGGGAGCATGATTTGGCGACCAAGATGCGGCAGATGGGGCAGTTCTTGGGCAAGGGGATGAAGGTGGAGGTTCTGGTGGCGCGGAAGAAGGGCGGCAAGCAGGTCGATGGGAAGGAGGCCGAGGGCGTGGTGAGGCGGATCCGGGACGAGGTCGACAAGGTCGGCGGCAGGGAGGGCAAGAGTGCGTCCGGGGCGGTTGGGGGGACGTATCGCCTGTATTTGGAGGGGAAGCTGAATTAAGCTTGAGGCGACTGAAGGGGCTGCTGGTTCTGTTGTGACTACGGAGGTTGAGCTGGCATGTCGTGGCATGGGGAGGTTTCTTCAAGGTGCACGTGGCAAGGGACGCATGAGCGCATGGTACAAGAGTACACTTGATCCGGGTTTCCTAGTTGTATCCGTCTATTTAAAGCCAAGTCGTCAAAGTCGTGAACGTGCTTCCTCTTCTTTTCGTACCCGCCAAACGCCAAAGATGAACCAGCCAGCCAAGTCGTTTTCCTCTGGGCCAGAATCCCGCACAGCCCCCTTCACAGAATCTCGTCATCGTCGTCGTCCGCAATAGCAGCTGGCTTACTTGCCCCCGGATTCGCGGGATTGAACCCATCCTCATCCTCGACAGCATCGCCGTCGTCGTCGTCGTCATCCGCCTCCTCCATTAGCGCGCCAAAGCGACTCCCGCCGGTCTGCTCATCGCCCGCGTCTCCCTCTACAGCATCCTTGTTGATGTCCTCCCAGGTCCTGCTCCTCCTCTGCACGTTCTTGGCCCGTCCGATGCTCTTCTCAATCTTCTTGCCGGTCCGCTCCGTGATGGCCTCGGCCATCTCGAGGCCCTTCTCGTGGCGCTTGCGCATCTTGCTCGTCATGCGGGACTTGCGCACAGGCTTGCTCTTTTTCGAAATGCCCGCCGCGCGGTGGACGGCGAGGACCGAGGGCCGCGGCGCGCTTGAGGTGCTGCGCTTGGGCAGCGGTATGTCCTTGAGGGACTTGTCCGTGTCGATGGAGGGGGATGTGGCGCGGCGCGCGGCGCGGGAGTGTTTCGAGGGCCCTGGGACCGTTCTTGTCAGTGAAGAGATTCATGGAAGAACCAGGTGACAATGGTGCGTACCTTTGCTTTTGGCCATGGTGGGCGGTGGGTTTGTGTGGACGTGTGAATGTTTGAAGTTGAGGGCCGGTCTGGATGGATATATTTTTTTCTGACCGCCCCCGCGATAAGTTTTGGCGGGATACGCAGGCACGCTAGCGATAAGGAGCCGCTGTGGCGTTTGCGGGTCAGCTTGTGGTGGGGTAACCCTAACCCTGGAATTGTTCCTGGTACGTAGGGCACCTTGGCTGTAAAATGATGTGAATCTGTATATTAATACATGCCTTATTAATCTAAGTGAAGGTAAGGAACTAACCGGACCCCACGTAGGACACTATTCTCTTGTATAAACTATGATTCTCTTGTATACATTATGATTCTCTTGTATACACTATAATTCTCTTGTATACACTATAATTCTCTTGTATATATTGTTATTCTCTTATATATACCATTATTGCATTATTCTCTGGCCTTGATAGATGTCATCTTAGCTGGGAATTCAATTCTGCACGCGTCTGGAAGCTGCCTCAATGTTAGTACGGAGAGACCCTCGCCATGCAATGACGTGCTCTCTCACTTCTTGTGTGCTCAATGATGCTGAAAATCTCACACCTGAAATTCGTGTTCGCTGAGGATTTGACGCAGCGAGACAGGCCTAACGACGTCAGTCGAGAGTCCCAGATGGCGGATCGCATCGCCGTGGCATCGAATAGCACGTGAATCGATCGAAGAGGTTTGTACGACGACCCTGCCATGGCGATGCTGGCGGGCGACCATATCCCAGGCTTCCGTGGCGGCAACCCCCAGAGAAAAGTCCGATGTCCCCCGTACCGTTATGATGACCGACTGCCCATTTCGAGCCCTCTGGTAGCGAAAGAGCATTGCCACACCCCGTCTGCCATTCCACAACTCCATCGTGTCAAGTCTCGGCATCTTGAGCGCGGCGGCAGCGGCGTCTCGAAGCATGTTGTTGATATCCGAGGGGTCTGCATCGTGAGTGAGGACCCTCGAAGTGAGCACCAGAGACGTGAGCTTCTCCCACTTCCATGGACCTTGACGCGCTGCGAAGAAGAAACCGGCGTCGACCATGAAAGAGGCAGATAGCGTCGTGAGGTGCAGGCTGGCGTTGGCAAGTTTCTGGCTCACGGCCGAGTCCGGCTCCCTGATAGTGGAACGCTGTGAATATTTTTCCGGGTACGACTCGTTGAAGTTCTCGAATATCGTCAGCTTGCACAACTTCGTCGAGGAAAAAGACTCCATCAGCGTCTGGTTGCCTGTACTCTGGTCGGTCAGCGGCTGTGTTGACTCGCCCAGGGGTCAAGTTAAAGCAAGCACTTGCGTATATCGGTAAAGATCTGAAATATGTCCCACTCCCTCCAGGGCTCGTAGCAAAGCTCCTTCATGTTGGGGAAGCGCGTGAGCATGTTGGCGAGCGCAACCGGCTTCCATCTTCGGCGCGTCTGCTGGCGGAGGAGAACGACGCCGACGACGGGCACGAGGGGGAGACTCCGCCACCAGTGCATCTCGAGTTGGTCGTCGTCGAAAGGCCCTTCGATCATGATTTCTTCGAATGTCTGCTCGATGGCACGCCAGCTGGGCGTAACGACCTGTCGCCCGGCAACCCAGCCATGAGCTGGGTCGTTTATCGGGGTCGTGTCCTGTTCGTGTCCACGGGGAGACGAGCACTCGTCGAGGCTGCTGTCTGAGCGGAAGCTGAGGTGTTTGAACCAGTGCTGGTTGTCACTGGGCGAGTACACACTGATGTCGAGGATCAAATCGCCGCGAGGCTCCCATGCGGAAAGTGTCGTGAACAAGCTATCAAACGCGTCTGCGATGAAATCGTTGTCCAGGCGCCGAAATGACAAGTAAGTGGTATCACACTGTGTGCAATCGTACTGCGTCAGTTCCACGCGGAACCAGACGTAGCGAATCTGGCTTCTCTTTCGGAACAAAATAGCTCGAGAGTCGAGGTCTGCGAGCCGCGGTACTGTAAGGCTGATCTCGGCAAAGTTGAGCGGCTCGATAATTGAGTGCCAGTCTCGGGAAACGGTTGCGAGCCGGCTGCATTTCCCACCGAGAAGGGGCAGAAGACTAATGATGTTGTTTCGGATTTCGGGAGGTAGATGATTCCAGGAGGTTCTGTTCCTAGACATGTTGAATTAGGCGTGCAGAAGCTCAAGTATACGGATGTGATGGGATGAAATGGGTCCAAGTTTGAGACGCGCGTTTCGGGATTCAACATGTTTTGCCAGCATAGGCAGGCTGCCTTTTTATGCCTGATCTCGAGGAACACCCGGCATATGATTGATGCATTTTAACTTTTTATTTAATGACAGTGAAGCGCCGACTGTGGCGCCACACGTCACTAAGAGACTTGGTTACCTGCATGGCATTACTTGTAGCCGCAAAGGCGAAAGAACAATGTTCAAGTCTGTTATTAGATGTCACTTTGCCTTCTCCTCTGCCTCCGACTCATGATACGTTGACCTTTCATCAACACAGTCTTCTCTGGCTAGGTCTCGTTTCGTATTGGTACGATTTTCTCGTGCATTAGATATTTATAACTCACACTCTGGCCTGGAGCAGTTCCTCCAGATGTGTAACATCTAGCTAAAGCATTGATTTTACAGGGCTAGAGACAATTTGGATTACTAGAGTACTTGGACAGAATGTTGTCTGCACTGGATTTAACTGCTTCAAGATGATGGACTGGATTTGGCTCCAATTGTCTCGCCCCCTAAAGCAGGAGCTAACTTTGAAGCTTAATTTAGTTATCCAACACCAGACTCCAGACTAAGCCTTTGTTTTGCAACAAACTTTGAGTTTACATGCCTGGTTTAGATCGGAGCGATAATTTGACACTATGAAGATAAAGCGGCGCTAGCTTAAAAGGGCTTGACATCTGGACCATGGTTTCGTCGTGATGCCTGAGATATCTAGCATGTCGGTTCCAGGACGGTTTTGCAAATTCCTGGATCACGAGTGGTTTCGTAACAGGTATATACAGCAAGTAGTGTAACACGATTGCCACCAAGGACAGCCGATGACAACAAGTGTTTGCAGACTATATACATGTATATTGGATCCACGGTCCTACTCTTGATTAAGGGCATTTGCGCGTCTTTCCCAGCGGATCGTGGATGGCTGCATGGGCCTGGAAAACAGAGACGTATAGTCGGTCGGCGGCACGGCAGACGAACCATCCACGGTGGTAAACCTCATATTTCGCACAAGCGTGGCAATAATGGTGCACAGGTTCATATAGGCAAACTTCTCGCCGATGCAGCGATGCCGGCCAGCACCAAACGGGAGATACGGGCTCTTGGTTCCCTTGGAGACTTGTCCATATCCGTAATCAACCATGTCCCCCTTTTCCTCGGTCGACATGTTTTCCCATCGATGCGGATCCCAGACGTGCGCATTGGCAAAGTGCTCCTCGCTCATGTGTGACATGATTGGCGATGACACAAGCACTTTATCCGGCCCGATAACGTAGTCGGTCTTGGGTACCGGAATCGGCCGCATGACCTTTCGCATGATGGAGTGAATCGAGGAATGAACCCGTAGAGTCTCTTTGATGACGTTCTGCAGTAGAGGCAACTTATCAATGTCTGCGTACTGTAGGGGCTCAGAGCCGGTATAGCCAAGATTCCTCACTTGTTCCTGATACAGCTCTTCGACGATGTCGGGCCGAGACGCGAGGCGGAGCATGATCCAGGAGCTTGAGGAGGAAGACGAGTGCTGGCCCGCCATGAGCAGCGTGATCATCATATGCGCAATCTCCTTGTCTGGAAGAGGCGTTCCATCCTTGTAGACGCAAGTCATCAGATGCCAAATCATATCTGCACCTTGGTCGGGTATCTTGCCGGATACTCGACGATCGTTGATGATATCGATGTATATTGATCTCATCTTTGCATGGGCAGCGTCTCGGCGTCTGTTTTGTGGCAACGGTGCCCACGGCATCAGGAAGTTGATGGGCCGGAAGCCAAGATCGAGATCGTGGTATAGCTCTGCGAATTCAGCAGACAACTTTTCCCGGACCTCCCTGCCCTGTAACGTCCTGCTTGCTGTGAAGATGGTGATTTCAGCCATGGCAGCAGGGATGTTGACTGTACCAGATTGGCCCCTGAATGCAGGAGCCACTTTGAGGTAATCGACGACTTCTTTCTCGATCAGTGGCACGTAGGAGCATAACGCGTCGTGTGTTAGGCCAAATTTGACGAATTTCTTCTGCTCCATCAACTTTGCGTTTGGGCAGTCGTAGATGATGTCGCTGCCGAACACGGGCGTTGTAAGCGGGGCGTAGATTTCCTCGGCGTTGACGTCTTGCAGTTTGCCATTGAGGATGAAGTCGTTCCCTGGCAGGCCCAGATACACGGTCATTTTTCGGCCGAAAAGGACAAAAGTGAAGATGTTGCCATGCTACCGCGGAAGAAAAAAGACAAGAGTTAGCACAGGTACGATGTTACTATATGGTTTTGCCTTGGCAGAGCTTGCTTTGGACATGGCATATGATGTAAAATGAATGAATGATGGAGGCATTCTCGTACCTTTTTCTGGCATTGCGAGTAGAAAGCAAATGGGTCCAGACCGTACGACACGGCATTGCCTATGAAGGGTATCCAGTGAAATACCAATGGCGGTTCTGATTTACTTGCAGGAAGCTGTTGGCGGATGAGGTTGACGACAATCAAAAGAAGCACGAGCAGGAGTAAACAGCTTCCAAGAAACAGTATCGGGGAGGCATAAGCCATTCGTTTCAAATGCTCAGTGAATGGACGAAACTCCATGGTAGAGGAATGAACGGGGTTTGCCAGAGAGCAAAACGTACAGCTACCGAAATAGCCTTGCCCATGACACTTTGCACATTTATATCTTAATCTTTACGAGGTGATTGCACACGAAAGGAGCCGTTTACATACAATCCTTAGACGCGTGCCTGGCCACGGCCTTGTGTGATATGTTAAGACAGCCTCGTATTCGGATTTTGCAGCATGAGAGTACCAAGTAGGCTCGTATTCGCATCGGCCCGCATTGTTTTGCGAGATCCGGGGCTTGGCAATCGCAAAGGATGCAAAGCGACAGGCGAAAACTTATTGTCAGCTCTTGTTGCTGTATCATTTCCGCGTACAATTCAGTCAGATGGGGCCCATTGCATTACAAGTCATTCATTTGACGGCCCCTCGCGTTCGCATTCGTCTTCTGCTACTTGCGTCCCGCCCAGTTTGCAACCACTAACTTACGGCACACACTGCAACATCATCTGGCCATCGTGTAAAGGTAGCCTGGAACGTTGAACACATTGATCGAGCGCCTTTGGCAGCGTTTAATGTCCTTAAACCGAGAATGATGAATACTGATTATGAGAATGTTTGCGCCCCTTTCTTCATTGTCCGCGCTCGTAGCTTCTTTGTACACTTTCCATCATGAGAACCTTTTCCCTGGACGCAAAGTCTCTCCAAAGTGCCGTGACATGTAACTGTTGAAGTTGCGGACCTATAGGGTAGGGATAAATGGCTCTGATAGCTTCTTTCTTTGGCCGTGCCAATCTCCCCTGTGGCATCTTCCACGGCTGAACCTCGCCAGTCCAACCCTGCATCTCTTTGGTAAAAATGGCTCAACTGTGCTGCATCCGACGTCTCCTCAAGTGGTTATTCTAGTTGCCATACTATTCAGCTCGGGTTATTGCAACCTCCGGGAATCTCCCTGGCGTAGATACGCACCTGTCCAAGTGCATCTCTTGAAGAGAATCACCACCTAGCGTGAGGAGGCTGTCCGTCACTACTGAACCCAAAACCAAACCCAAGACCATCTTAGCTATCAAGCATCTTGGTGTTTTGGTGCAGAAAACATTTCACCCCCGGGGCGTGCACTTTTTGATGAGTTTCTGGTTTTGAAAAGTGGAGAGCAACACGGATCTCGGTCATTTTCCTACTGGTCCAGAATATGCCTCGCTACTTCCCGGCACATCAAACAGTGGAACAAGGCCCCACCGCGCTAGACCCCAAGGGGTGTCCCGCAAATCCTGTCACTAAATTAAAGCCCTCGACTTGGATAAAAGTAGAGGGAAGAATCGAGATGGAAAATAATAAAGACACTAGGCGATGCCATATACACTTATTAAGGCTTCTAGTAACGGTATTTATAACGGCATCCATCCTATAAAGTTTTCTTCTTAATAATACTATACCCAAGCTCGTTCCAGTCCTCATCAAATCTCTCTACCCGTTGGCAACTAAGTGGCACCATCTCTAGCGGCAGGCAGTACTTCAGGAAGCTCCTTCAAGTAAATGGGCTGAGTAAAGTTGGGCACCACCTGCATGTTGCCCGGGATCACGATGTTTTTCGGCCGCTTCAGGTCATTTATCCCGCCTTCACCCTCGCCGCCGGGACCAAGCGCAACAGTGTACCGCCTCAAGAACTCAATCAAGATACATTTCGCTTCTGCAGACGCAAAGAACCGTCCCGGACAGGACATGGTGCCATGCCCAAAGTTGAGGTTGTCGTTGCCGGTCTGGGTGAACTGGTGCGCATTTTCTTGGCCCGGTAGGCGGCGCAGCTCGTAGGAGCGAAACGGATAAAATTCGCTGAGCGGCGGTTGATTAGGGTCATAGTCGAGAGGCGACTTGAGGGTTGCTGGGGTTTTTACATATGGTGCGAGGGGGTGCACAAAGCCGATGGTGGCATTTGGCGGCATTGTCTGGCCGTTGGACAACTTGATGCCGTCTTTGGCGACTACGCGGCGTCCCCAGGCGACTGAGAAGCAGACCAGACTTTCGTCAACGGTTGTAAATGATGCCGTGAAATGTATGAAGGTTGAACTTACCGATATTTCCTGTTTTAGACTATTAATTTAAGAACACTTAAGCCGGAAAATAGGGACGAAGCGTGGCCATCTCACCTGGATTCATTCGCTGACTTTCACGTAGTAAACTATCTATCTTACGAAACTTGGGCAAACTTTCCTTGCGGAGCACATGCCCTTGTTCTTGGTCTAATACGGTTTGAATTTCTTCTTGAAGAGCCGGTATATACTCGGGTCTAGCAGCAAGATCAAAAATTGCGTTGGTAACTGTGATGGAGGTTGCGTGGATGGATCCGAAGCCTGATTGATAGATCGATTTAGCCAATTATGTACCATAGCAACATCCATCACATTCATACTTCAGCAGCAGGACTTACCGGCAAAGAGTTGCTCGTGCACCAAATGGTCAAAGTCTGTACCCGTCCGCTGGAGGTCCATCTGCTTCAGCATCCAGGAGATGAGGTTATACTGGTTCCTGGCCGGTTTCTTTTCTGTGTCAGCTCCTTGGTGAGTACCGATAATGAACTCATAGTGCGGCCTCAGAATCTTGGCTGCACGACTCTGGAGGTCTCTGAGCGCTTTCATCTCTGGTAAGAAAGGGACGAGGAAGGGACGGAGGAGTGGCTTGGTTCGCTGAATCGCTCGGATTCCTTGCACCATGGCCATAGTATATCCGATGGAGATGTCGATCCAGTCCTGGTCGCGAGACAGGGGAAGACCGACAAACATGCGTCCATTCACCAAAGCACTGAGCTGCAGAAGCTTGTCGTAGACGCCCATCTGCGTCCATGTTGAGATGCGGCCGAATTCCCGCTCCAGGGCATACGCCGACTCTTCTTGCAGCTCCGGCAGCATTCGACCAATATTCGCGGTCAAGTCGGTTCGGATGGCTTGGATTCCAATGGGATGGTCGGTCCCCAGGGTGGTGTACCTGCCGTGCATCTTGTCGTAGACCTCCCTGCGCAAAGAGAGGACATCTTGCGACAGGGGTTTGAGCTCGTTCAGAAAGCGATTAGGAAGTATGATCTTGGGCTGTTCCGTGGCAAGAACAAACGGCTCGTCGGGGTACTTTGAATACCGGAAAACACACCAGGTTTAGCAAAATTCGCCTATTGAAACATCTCGTGACAGCAGGAGGAGTGGGAGTGGGATCATACCGCCGTGGTTCCTTGTGTGATGGCAGCGATAACATTGCCGTTTTCCACAGTGACGTGGGGAAACTTCCACTCTTGTATGGAATTTTCGAAGGATGCTGATTTCTTAGAGTATAGCACGGCAATAGCTGAAGCCAAAATCACAGCTACGACAGTGGCCGGCAACCCCGTCAGTATAAACAAGTCCAATTCGCTTCCCATCATGCATGCCTTCGCGACCTTTACAACAAGGCAAAAAGATTGCTTGAGATTTCGCAAATTTTCAACAAACAAACATGAGCCTTTGCAGTATACGTCCAATTCACTGTCGAGATGGCCGGCTTGCCACTCTTGATACATGGGCGTTCCCCAGAGAGAATTCGCCGCCCGCAAAACTCGCCGGTCGCCATGAATCCGTCCACCTCTGGAAACTCCCAACCATGAAGCTTCCAGGTAGAAGTTTACATTATTTCTCTGGCATAGAATAATTTGTAAACTCGATATCAACCAGACACCGAGCATGGCGAAGCAAGAAAGCCTCCCCCGAATCCTTTGCCTCCACGGCGCCGGGTCCAACGGCGCAATTTTTCGAGTGCAAGGGCGCAAGATCTTCTCAGCTCTTGGCAAAGATTTCCAGTTCGTTTTCGTCGAAGCTCCGTTTCTCTCGACGCCCGGGCCTGGGATGGAGCTGTTTGCAGACTCGGGCCCCTTTTACCGATGGCAATGCGACATGGGCGCATCGCTGTCTTTCGACATTACGACGGACGAGGTCAACGCAGAGAGGGACAAGGTCAGGGCACTGCTCGAAGACCATTTGCTGAAAAAGGACGACGGGCAAGCGCTGTTTGTGGGCATCATGGCATTCTCTCAGGGAGCGCGAGTTGCCACGGGGCTTCTCATGCATCTGGCGCAAATGCGTCGACGAGGCCGTACCGACGACTTTTATGACATCAAGTTTGCCATTATAAATAACGCCACTTACCCCCCTCTATACCTCAACGATGAAATGACTGCCACTCCGGAAAGAGTCATGATTCCTACCTTGCATATCCACGGGTCAAACGATCCATGGAGGCCAGAGTCGGAGAACATGTTGGCCGAGTTTTTTGATTTGTCTTGTGCGACGGTTGCTGGATTTACCGGCAAGCATCAGCTTCCACTGGCGAAAGATGATGTAGATGAGGTCGTAACTGCAATACGCCGGTTATCTGCACATTCCACCCAAGACATTTAAGTGTTATTAAGCAAAGCGGCGCTTTGCTTGAGTTTTAACAATAAACCACGGCTGAAGCATGAGTTTGTATGTCACACGGTTACATGAGGGCTACGTTCAAGGGACATGGGGCAAAGACCCTCACTGACTTGTTGTATTTAAAGAGCGATCTTGAGGAAAACCACAGACTGTTATTAGATGAATTGAGTCATTGCTCCAAGCCTGTAGCTCTTGTCACGCCTGTGATCTTGTTAGTAATCATTTTAAACTTGATGTCTCGTGGAGCATTAATTTAATAGTACTAAATGTCCTGTCCCTATAGCTGCACTGCTGCTTCGTCGAGTGACGACGGGTTTGCCTCTCTAAAAGTCAAGTTATACGCCGGACTTAGTGTCGGGAATAAAACCAATGCCATGAGCCGTTGTGGTAGCCATTTTTGGGGGTGCTATGAAGAGACTGGTCGGTTTGGTTCGGGTATCCTTCGTCTCGCCAATACAATGACATGCTTTGCTGGGGATTACCTATTGGCAAAACGTATAACAACAACGCGGTGTCAATTTTTTTGTTCTAGGTCTTTCTATTCGTACCGGTGCATTTCGACGTGTATCTTGTACCGATTGACTGGCCCATCACACGGCGTCTTCGTGCGTCTCACGGTACCGGCGGCGCATTTCTAAAAAACCCGCCGGTAGAAACAAGTCCTCTCTGCTAAACACGGCTGAATTGTACAGAAACTCAAACCTTGCTTACTGTCGAAACTAACCTGCTAGACATGCACATATTCAGACCCGGATTTTCCTAGCCATAGTGTCGACTCAACATAATTCGTCTGAACTTGCGCAAACATCAGGAATAGAGCAGCCGTGGGCAATAAGCGCGGCGACATGGTAAAGGCAGCTGCTCTCCTGGTAAGCTTTGCAGCTACCATCAAGTCCCTCTGGTACGGCGGAAGCCCGTTCGCCGGGTTTACAGCCTTGTGGCCGACGGACGCGGATGGCAAATGGAGCATCCAGGCAGAAGGCATCCGGCTTGTTTTTACCAATGCAAATGGAGGCGCTCCAACAAACCTATTCATAAACGATACAAACGGGAACGAAATCGACCTCATTTTAGGCCTAGATAACCCAAAGGAATACGCAAACTACTTGGGCCAGCTTGGAGGGACAATAGGTGCGTCCGTGTCGGCCACAGGAGTCAGATGTACTGGGCTAAAACAAACTTCTATTTAGGTCGAATGGCCGGCCACATTAGCAATGCTAGCTTCGTCATCAATGACAAGAAATACCATACCTCTGCAAACGGAAACAACGGAACCAGCACATATAACGGAGGAGTCGGTGGTTGGGAGCGAACAACGTTTGACGTTGGCTCCCGCACAAGCAATAGCATCACCTTTGTTGTTTTTGACCGCGCTGGTAAGAACGGCTTTCCAGGAAATTCAGGGTCTGCTTTGACACACTCGGTATACCCGTATGAATGGCGAATCTCGTACGGCGTCACACCCACCAGGACTAGCGACCCGGTGCCTATTAACCTTAGCCACAAGACATTTTGGAACCTAGATGGATTTAGAGAGGGCTCAGAGACTATCAAGGAACATCGGTTACATCTGCCCTTTTCAGGATTACGACTTGAAGAGGACCAAGACCAAATTCCAACAGGTAATATTAAAGGAAATAAAAAAGACAGCGAATATGATTTCTGGTCACTACCAAGATCCTTAGACGTAGGCCTGGCACGCAAAGGGTCTTACGATGACCTCTTTCTAGTCAATCGGCACCAACCGTGGGAAATGGATAGCAACCCTGTCGCTTCGCTCTCATCGGTAAAATCAGGCATTACACTCAACATGTATACCGATCAAGCGGCAGTGCGCCTGGTGACGTGGGATAAGCCCTACTGTAAGCACATTTATTCCGCCTCGATGAGCGATTAATATTATATTCTCTTACGACCGCTAATAGATTATATTTAGCAAACTTGGCGCTAAAGGCAGCCCAGGGGGGCGCCAAAGTCGGCAAGAATGCGGCCATCTCAATGCAGATGATGGACTGGCCAGACGCCTTACATCACCCTGAGTGGCAGCGTGACAGTCATATTCTTTATGGGCCGGATAGAATGATGACGTCTGTGTCCAAGTTTAAATTTTCGGTTAAAGGCAGGACTAGCTGCCATTAGAAAGTTATGTATGAAGTCCTTTAACTCAGTGCTGCGCAAGTGTTACAAGGGCTCAGTGAAGGCTTGGAGCATTATGGTGTGACTGTTATTCACCCTGCGGAAGCGCAATGGTTAGCTTGAGCAAATGGCATTCTTAGATCGTCTTTTCCTTGTCAAGAATGCCATGTTTCTAGGTCTTCAAGTCCAACAAACCCCCCTTTCACATGAATGGCCTCGCAAATCTTGGCGTTCAAGATGGCGAAAGGGGCGAACCCGGGGCGCATAAATAAATTCGTAGATTACAAGTGAAGATGCCCGTAGAATACGAGAAAGAGCGAAACTCGGTTCAATTCATTGACAGGCACAAGGCTTCTTATAGTACGAGAAAAGCTACGATTCAATGGATTCTGTATGCAGAAACACGGCCACACAATAACAAACTTAGTAAACCTCGACAGATCTTTACCCGTAGAACACGGTGAACCCGACGCCTATTCCTCCTTTTCCTGACCGGATCCGTCACTGCTCCCCTCCGTCGCAGGGGTACTCGTCTTGTCCTCCGAGTTGGAGCTGGTCTCCGACTCGGCACTGTCACTCGAGCTCTCTTGGCCTTTGATAGCATCGGCTATATCCTCGACCAAGTCTTGGATCGACGGCCCGCCCAGGATCTTGAGGACCGCAACATCCGCACCGACCTCGTTCGCCAACCACGTCCGAATCTCGACAGCCACCAGGGAGTCGACCCCCATGTCGACGAGGGGGGTCGTCACGCTGAGCGTTTCCTCGCCCACCTGCAGAGCAGCCTTCAATTTGGCCTTGAAGGCGGCGCCGAGCATGGCGGATATTTGCTCGGCGTCCTTGGCCGCCTCCAGCTGCGCCCTGATCGGGATCGCAGCCGTCTTGGTGGCGCTGGGCGGCTTGGCCGTGCCCGTTTCCTGGATCATGTGGCCGAAGCGAACGTTGCCGCCCCATAGGGCATCCTTGGACTCGGCGGGCGTCATGATCCGGAGACCCGAGATGATTTCGGGGTCGTGGCCCGACCCGGCACGGCCCGAGATGACGGCCTCGGCAAAGAGCTGATGCAGGTCGGGCTCCGACATGACGAGCGTCCCGGATTTGCCCATCAGCCTCATGGCCTGCTCGCGGTCGCTCTTGGCCTGCCGTTTGAGCTCGCGCTCGACGTACCCGACGCCAAAGACTTGGGATATGTCAATGACGGAGCCGGCTACACCGCGCTTGCGGCGCTGGGAAATGATGGCCTTCATGAACATGTTGGCAGCCGTGTAGGCCATTTGGCCCATGTTGCCCACGGTTGCAGAGATGGATGAAAAGGCGATAAACCAATCCAGCGTGTTGTCCGGGAACAGGGCGTCGAGGTGCTCAGTGCCCTCTACCTTGCACCTGGTGTTGGCGTGGAATGTCTCGAGATCCATGTTGACCAACCCTCGGTCCTTCAAGACGAGGGTGCCGTTGGCCACGCCGCTCACTGGAGGCAGATTCGCCCGGATCTGATCATAGGATGCCCTGAGGCTGCTCTCGCTCGTGATGTCTGCAGCAATGTAGACAACAGTCGCGCCGCGCGCGGCATGATCCTTCACCCACTCGTGGTTGATCTCGGGGTTTCGGCTGGACAGCACGATGTAGCGAGCGCCCTGAGCAACCATGAAGTCGCAAATGGATCTACCCAAGTCACCTGCGAGGCCGACGAGCCAGTACGTCTTGTCGGCTGCGAACAAGTCGTTTCTGTTCACGACTGGCTCCACGCGGGCTGGGACGCTGTCCTCGCCGTGCCACTGGATAATGCCCCTGAGCGCATTGCTTGTCGCGGAGTCGCCGCTGCTCAGGATTCGACTCAGGGGAATCATGGGCAAAGGCATGCCGTCGGGCACTCCGTTGAGCTGTGCCGCAGCAAACGAGTTGACTCGGTTGAGCAGCTCGTGGATGGCGTCGTCGTGAGCACCTGCGAACACGGTTGATTGACGCGCAATGACAATGCCCGCATCATGTCTCTCGCACAAAGGAGGCAGAATTTTAGAAATTCTCTGACTGAGGAATGATGACCCCTCCGGGCAGGGCGTGGTGGCAGAGAGGTCGAGATACAAGTCACACGTCGTTGGCAACGCCCGTATGAGCTGACGATCGGGAATGCGAGGATGCATGGCCAGCCAGTTCCTCCTCACCACGTCAGTCGCAGCGGTTGTGAACAAGACCCTGCATCCCATGGTGGCTAGCTGCCGCGACATCATCGAGGCCAAGCCCGGATCTGGCTCGTGGACGACGACAGTCCCCCCGGCAGGCATCCTGGACGAGAGGTGCCGACTCAACAGATAGCCCGAGAGGAAAGAGAGGTACTGAGAATCGATACTTCTGCCGACGTCGACATGGACTGACCACTTGTGAGGGACCAGAATGGCCGAAGAGTTCTTGCTCGAGGCCGACACGACTCGCCGGCCCGTGTTCATGTCAGTGCCCAGGCTGAAGAATAAGCGACCGGCAGGGGTGACGATTGACGATGCCAGAGACGAATCGACACGAACCCGCCGCTGGTCTGCTACACAAGGCAAAACTGCGCACTCGTCCTCCCGCAGGGTGTACCCGGACCGTGACCAGTTGAGCGTGGCGATGGATTCGTCGAGGCAAATCTCCTTGTCAATGACGCGCTTGAGGGAGTCATAGCGGTGATTCTGGTCTACATGAGGAAGACACCGCGGGATCAAGACGTTTCCGTCTCGAAACCTGAGTTCCGGCTCATTGCTGAACATGGTGCGGCCAAGGGAGCCAGTCTTGTTCATATACGACGACATGTCCAGCCGCAGAAGTCTTTGGGCAATGACGGATCCATCAGCCTTGGATACGTCTTCCAAGTCCATCACCTGCAGAATGGCCTGCGGCAGCTCGTACGCCAGAGACCGGAAGAAGCCGACCGTCATGGCGCCGTCGCCATTGTCGCAATCCGTGCCCCAAGTCACCCAGAGCACGTTTGCCGCCGTCAAAAAGACAGCCTTGAGCCTTTCAAATCGCCAGACCGTCATGTCCCTCCAGAAAGTACCATCGAGATCCTGCAAGCTCAGCACGGTAGGATTCTTCAAACCGTGATCCGCGCTCGGATCGTCCCAGCTCCGAACATGGACAATATTTTGGTAATGCGGCCGCACAGCAGCCGCAACGTCCTCGACGACCTTGGCCGAAGCCGCCCCGGCACCGCCCACGATGAGAAGCTCTGCGTTTTTTGCCATGCCGAGCCCCGGCGAGCCGGCCGTAGGCTCCCTCAGCAGCGAGAGGTCACTGTCGACGGCCTGGCCGACGATGATGGAGGCTGGCATGACGACCGGATCCAAGACGGGTGTCGACGTCTCGATACCCGCGAAGCCGGAACCGAGCAGGATGTCGTTCCATTCGGGGAGCGAAACGCAGGGCGAGTGTTTGCGGCCAGTGTCTGCTCCGATCCACCACCCCGGAAGACCGCCGATGATGACGCCGAGGCGCAAAACGCTCTTGTCGGTGAATTCCATCATGACCAGGAAGCCGCCTGGACGGAGAAGCTTGCGCGCGTTGGACAGCGTGGCAACCAGGTCGGGCGTGGCATGGAGCACGTTGGCGGCCACGACGAGGTCGTAGGCCCCGTGTTCAAATCCTTGCTCGGCAGGGTCGACGGTGATGTCCAGCGTCTTGTAGATCATCCGGTCCTTGTAGGCAGCAAAGTCCTCCTGAGCCTTGCTGAAGAAGCCGCTAGAGATGTCGGTGTACGTGTAGGACGAGTAGGCGGTGCCCAGCTCGGCGAAAATGCGCCTCGACGCACCGCCGGTGCCGGCTCCAACTTCGCAGATGTTCATCCGCGGGTACCGGTGGGAGATTTGCTTGACAGTGGCGGCAATGAGGTCGTTGAGGGCGTGGAAGCCAAGAGCGTGCTGGTAGTAGTTGTTCAGCTTGTTGTCCTTGGTCAGGTGTTCGAGAATCGTCGTTTCTCCCCGAATTACCGCCGGCAGGTTCTCTCCAGATGCGGCCGTTAGCTGGAAGTCCGGGTCGTTTGGACCATAACTGGAGGATTGTCAGCATCTCACTTCTCTTCGTCTTGGACCGAGTCCAACAAGCCCTCGCCATAGATGTAGACTTGCCTCTTCATAATGCTGCATATTTGCTCATATGTGTCCTCCATCCATTCCTTCTTCACATAGGCATGCTCTCCGCGTTGGACTATATTATATATGTATTCAGCATAGTCAAAGAGAGCCTGATGATGGCGTGGCAGATGGAGTGCCGTGCGCTCAGATTGGGAGAAGTCCTCGTGAAGTCTCCTCAGGTAGTAGAAAGCCACGCGTTCGCAGTCGACACCCTTCTGAATCTCGCTCTCGGTGGCTCTATACGACCCCAGGGCAGCTTGCCCATTGGGAGACTCGATGCCGTAGACATTGTGCGCAAAGAGACCGCGGTCGTCTGAGGCAGTGGCTGCAGTAAAGGGGATAAAAGCAACGCCTTCCACAGAGATGGACTTGTAACCCGTCTCGTCTTGGAACACTTCAACATCCCCCGTCAGCTCGTTGCACTCGATATCGGTAACGGCGCAGTCAAACGACACTTTCGGAGTCATGTTTGCACCGCACAAACTAGGCACCAGGGTCACTCTCCTGATGCTCGATGGTGCATGGAGAGACCAGAGGCGGCCGTCCCCGGGAGAACTGAATCCAACCAACATGCCCTGAAGGGCTGCATCGAGCATGCCGGGGTGGAAAAGCAACGTCGTGCCCGTCTCATCATTAGGCGGTCCGACGATATCACCCCTGGAACCTCCCAGCTTTCGCTCCAAATTGCAGATGCCGCGGAAAGTAGGGCCGTAGTTGTACCCAAGCTTGGCCACCTCGCTGTAGAAGTGATCCGTTGAAACCGGCCTCATGCCGTGGGCAGGAGGAGGCCGTGGCGCGAGGATATCTGGCATGGGCTGGCCGAGCTGTACTCGGACATTGCCCATGGCATTCAGGGCAAGACCGGAAGCTTCCTTGCCAACAGTCGAGAAGCAGGCAAACGCCATGGTGATGTCCTCGTCTGTACGGATTATCTTGGTCATGGATACAAGCGTCTCTGTGCCAACGCTCTCATCAATCGCAATAGCTTTGCGGATACTCAGGTCCGTCAGCTCGAGCAGCTGCACAGAATTGTTACCGGCAATTTGCATGGCCGCCTCCAAGGCGAGGCAGAGGTATCCAGTCCCGGGGAAGACGGTCTGGCCTTGCAGAGCGTGGTCCAACACCCACGGAAGCTCCTTGGGATGCAGAAGATTTTTCCAGCGCCATTCTTCCTCTGTCCCATCGGCGCAGCGACTGCCGAGGATGTCGTGGAACTTTCCTTCTTGCTGGCGCCAAAGCTTGGTTCCCCTCGACTCGGTCCAGAGGATCCGATCGCGGTTCCACGGATAGGCTGGGAGATCCCGTAATATCTTGATTGTCTTCCAGTCTTGATACATGGCTTGTCCATAACTGTCGAGATTGATAGAAGAAGGACCAGCGTTGGTCCAAAGATGGCCCAAGGCATCGCTGAAGGATTCGACGTCGTGCTTGCCGCGGGCTAGGGTTCCGCTGTAAGGGATGGTTTTGCCAATCACGGCCTTCATCACATCTGTTGCCGGTCCTTTGAGGGCGGGATGAGGGCCAATTTCCACAGCGGCGTCGAAAGCATCGCCCGACAACAGAGCCGTCTCGAGAGCCTGGGAGAACAGCACAGGATTCAACAAGTTTTCTACCCAGTACGATCCCTTTATAATATCACTTGCCTCCATGACTTGACCCCCGTACACACTGGAGAACCAGGTTGGCGCGTCGTTTGGAGGAGTCATGATATTGATAGCACAGTTCCTGACGCTCTCCAGGAACGGTCCAGATGCAGGCTTCATGTGGTGAGAATGATAGGCCTTGTCGACGCGTAGAGCCCGGACAAAGGTTTCCTCATCCTCAAGCACCAACTGCAGCTGTTCAAGAGCGTCCAAGTCACCAGAAATAGTAACACTGGTCGGGGAGTTGGACGCAGCCACGGTGATGCGGCCGGTGAAGTCTTCGTGATCACACAGCTCTATGCCCTCATCGTATGACAGGCCTGTCGCTAGCATTCCGCCTATCTCACCACTCGCACTCCGGGCCAGCTTCGAATGTAAACCTCTATAATACGCAATGCGGATGGCATCATGATGGTTGATGAAGCCTGCGGCAAAGGCAGCTGCAATCTCTCCAGAGCTATGCCCAACAACGGACTTGAACTGAACCCCAGCATCCCGCAATAACGTAACCAGCAGGATCTGAACAGCACATACTAGAGGTTGTGCAATGGTGGCCTCACCCACACGGGAAGTCGACGCATCAGCCAGAAGCTCGTCACGGAGCGTCCACGACGGACGGTCAGAGGCCGGCAGCGCTGCCAATGAGGCATCCAGCTCGTTGATGATATCCATGGCGCGATTTGATGACTGAAGGAGTGAAGCACCCATCCTCGGCCACTGCGCACCTTGGCCAGTGAAGACGCCGAGGAGAGACGGATTTGTTGTCGTGGAACGCACAAAGGACAGGTTCCCTTGATCGCTGGTGCTTTCGCTTAACTTGCTACACAGTTCCTCTTGTGATGCGGCTGAGAAGCACGTCTTGAAGGCGAAGGCTGATCTCCGGCACCCCAACGTGTAAGCGAGTCTATAAAGGTCAACATCGGGGTTGCTGTCAAGATACTTTGAGTAGGCATCCACCAAGGCTACAAGGGACTTTTCTGATGTGGCGGAGAAGAGAAATGGAAGATGGAGTGCTTCCTTGTCTGCTGATCCAAGCGTGCGGTTCTCAACCTGAGCTTGTAAGTCGTCTGAAGACCAGGGACTTTCCAAGATGGCGTGGGCATTGGTTCCTCCAAATCCAAAGCTATTGACGCTGGCTCGCCGAACTTGACCAGCAGGCAAGTCTGGCCACGGCATAATGGATGTCACCACCTCGAGATTCTTGCAAAAAGGCTTCACCGATGGGCTCAGGTTGTCTAGGTGCAGATTGGGAGAAATAATCCCATGCTTGATGGAGAGACATGCTTTTATGATGCCCGCCAGACCAGCGGTGCCTTCAGTGTGGCCAACCACGGTCTTTACGGATCCCACGTAAAGAATGTCATTGGCATCTCTTTCTAAATCCTGGAAGAAGGCCGTATCTGACCATGAAACTTTCAGTATTTGTCACGAATACCCCAAGTCCCAGACAGGGTTATTCACTTACCCAAAGCTTCGGCTTCTTGCGGATCACCTGCAGGAGTACCGGTTCCATGCGCTTCAAAGTACTGACAACGATGCCTCTTGTTCCTCGGGTCCAGTCCAGCTTGGCGGTAGGTTCTCTGGATCAGGGAGGCTTGCGAGACGGCGCTCGGCATAGTAATGCCTTTAGTCTTGCCGTCCTGATTGACCCCCGTTTCACGAATAACACAGTCAACATGGTCACCATCCGCAATGGCATCGCTCAATTTCTTCAGCAGCACACAGGCAACACCCTCTCCTCGGGCGTAGCCGTCCGCCTTCTCATCCCACATTTGGCATCGCCCATTCGGCGAAAGCATGCCCAGCAGACTCTCAGATATGTACCCGAGGGGACACAACAGGAGATTGGTGCCTGCGGCCACAGCTACGCGGGAGGTGCCAGCCCGGAGAGCTTGAACGGCCTGGTGGACAGCCACCAAGCTAGAAGAGCATGCCGTGTCGATTGTCATGCACGGCCCGTGCCAGTCAAAGAAGTAGGAGAGACGAGCAGAGGCGTTGCTGTTTGCGATGCCTGTGGAGTTGTACGTCGAGACGCTATCCAAGTCTTGTGCAGAAAGGATATAGTAGTCGCTGCACATGACTCCCACAAACACGGACGTGTTCGACCCTTGAAGTTGCTCAATGGTCGTGCCAGAGGCCTCCATGGCTTCGTAGACCGTCTCCATGAGAAGACGATGTTGAGGGTCCATGGCGCCAGCCTCTGAATACAAGACATGATTAGCCACGTTGACGCTCAGTTGCGAGAGTGGAGGGAGGGTTGGCCGTACCAGGAGGGGGGATATTGAAGAAGCCTGCATCGAATACCCTGACGTCTTCGTCCAGGAAATAGGTCTCCTTGACGTTGCTTGTACCGTGATGGGTGCCCACCGGGTGGTAGAACCTGTCAAGGTTGAAGCGTTCTTGGGGTATTACCTTTGCGGTGTTTGGGGCCTCCTTCAAGACATCCCACAGCTTAGATGGAGTACTTGCTCCGCCGGGGAACCGACATCCAATGCCAACAATGGCGATCGGTTCCGGCTGCTCTCGCACAAGTCCGGCATCCATGCTGTCTCATATGTATTGCAGCCCTGGTAGAGTTGTGAACGGCTGTTTGAGCTCAAACCTAGTCCGGAGAAGAATGCCGCCAGTCTAGAGGAGAAACTAAAAATATACTGCCTAGTAGAGATGATAGAGTACAAAGTTTTGGAGCACGGTATTGTCTAAAATTGTCTGGTACGTATGTATGGTCATGCTCTCTCCTAAGACGATATCATGTTGCCTCTTTAAGTACGGGTGGATAACGCAATTCCTCAGGATCGTATCAGCAGCAACTTTAGGTTTCTACTCCTCTCTAGGACCACGTGGTCAACTGCTTACTTTTCTCTACGTACCATGGCCTGTTATGTCCCGGATGTCAAATCTCGCCGTGGAATCATCAACCGCCGGTAACATTCTGACACGGTCCGGCCGGCAGGCTTGATGCCAAACAAGCCTCATCAGCCGGCGGGTTTTGCGACGCTGACTCACCACTACTTTGTGCTCGGCAATCAGGCTAATTTATGAGTGATTTCTTATTGATTTTTTTGGTATTAACTTGTTTAGTTTGAAGAAATTCTACCTCCTGGTGAAGTCACAATCAAAAGTGTTGACAAGAAAGCAAACAAAACCATAGTCAAGACAACGAGAGTATCAGGATGACTATTGCACACCCCCAGACACAAAGGGCCATTGTAGGAGTCGAAGGAGGCGGCCTCGCGCTCGTGGAGAATGCAAACGTCCCTGCTCTGGAGGAGGACATGGTCCTTGTAAAAAACGCCGCCATCGCTGTCAACCCCGTGGACGCAAAGATGTCTGCGCCAAACCTCGTAACTGCCGGGGCCCTCGCCGGCCATGATTTTGCGGGCACAGTTGCAGCCATCGGAGCGAAGACGTGGACCGCAGCGCCGATCAAGATTGGCGATCGGGTCTGCGGTGCTGTCCAGGTATGCCAATGTTGAGCGGCGCGTCCGAGCGAGCTGTCCAGACGATAGAAACTAACAAGCATAATCTACCTCGAAAGGGATTGAACCCCCTAGCACCCGACGTGGGAGCTTATGCGGAATATGTCGGCGCGTCTGACGTCGCCGTCATCAAAGTCCCAGAGTCCATGTCCTTGGAGGAAGCCGCCTCGCTTGGGACAGGCATAGGAACCATGGGAATGGCGCTCTTCCATACCTTGCAGGTCCCAGGATATCCTACTAAGCCAGCAGCCACGCCCAAAGTGGTTCTTGTATATGGCGGCAGCACAGCCAGCGGAACCATGGCCATTCAACTTCTCAAGCTGTACGTATAACACCCATGCTCAAATCCACCAGTTGCTTTGAGTCATGTATAGAATACTGATGTTGCCAAGATCCGGACTGTTGCCAATCGCAACCTGTTCGCCATCCAACTTTGACCTAGTCAAATCCTACGGCGCGGTTCAATGTTTCGACTACCGGTCGGAAAGTTGCATAGACGACATCAAGAAGCTCACCAAGAACGCTCTCAAGTACGTCATCGATTGCGTCTCCGAGCCTGACACCATGGAGTTCTGCTACAAGTGCATCGGTCGCACCGGCGGCAAACTGGCAACGCTGGAGCCTCCGCCCAAGTATCTCAACGCGAGGGAGAGGACTGTCACGGTAGACTGGGTATTGGGCCCTGCACTGCATGGGAAACCGATCGGCTGGCCGCCGCCCATGGAGAGAGATGGTAATCCTGAACTTCGTGAGTTTGCCAAAAGGTGGTTTACAACGGTGCAAGAATTACTGGACCAGGGGAAGCTGAAGACGCACCCGCTCAAGGTCATGGATGGTGGTCTGTCAGCCGTGACAGATGGGCTCCAGATGCTAAAGAAGAAGCTTATTTCTGGACAGAAACTAGTTTATCCCGTAGTGGAAACACATGAATGAAGCAAGAGTTGTGTGAGTTGCTTTTCTACACCAGCCACAGCTATTACATCTGGTGGATTGATGAATAAGATTTAAAAACCAAGAATGGAGATTATATTGCACCTAGCCCACAAGACCGTGATTCCTTCAGACTATAGCGCCCTTGTGCCTTTTGGTGGCGAGGACATGTTCGCGATAGAGCCATGCCATGGCCACAGTAGCCCCCGGGCCAACGGAACAAGTAGAAACGGCGAGTGCTGATACTATTGACAGCCAGCCATGCCGCACCATGCCCGCCCGCTTGAGGTCATTGTACAGATATGTAATCCAGAGAAGAGATACACCCGCGAACCAGGCGTGGCTACTCGGTGCCAAATTGCCGCTCAAGAAGGAGGGAGCGTGGCGAAAAAGACGCAGCCACGACGAGGCAGACAAGAAAGCCAGGCCTCCGACTCCAAGCCGAATAGTTCCCATGTCACGTTGTACATTGGTCAGGCGATCTTGCTGGATCGTTGACGGGAAGATGAACTTGCTCGCCATTCTCTGCGCGAGACTGGTCAGGAGGGGCGACAAGCGGAACGCCCAGATGGAAGCTTGTCGAATTTCCCGGCTGGGACCCGATATCGATAGGATGTAGGGAAGATAATAGCATAGCAAGGTGGCAGGGAGGACTGAGCGTGTGTAGCTCAGATCCGTAAGCCGGAGGTCGCCTGCTTTGAACCGGGATATGGGCACAAGAGCGGCATACGTGAAAAAGTACAGGGACAAGACCGTATCCGCGGGGGCAAGCTGGCAGCCCATTCCAAACAATAATGGCCTATAGAGATGGAAAATCAGGTCACCATTTTTGAAAAGAAACAAGGTTGTCTTGTACGGCGGGGTTCACTTACAACGCGAGAGGCGTCATGAGGTTGGCACGTCGAGCGGCCTCGATCAATATCACGGCATATACCGTACCAAAATCAGCCACCTCGACGTTCAAACATGGCACATCAAACGACTCGCTGAGCAACTTCTGCCATGGCAAGAGTGTTTTGGGTGTGTAGAGGGGAAGACAGTAGCGCAAGACCACGGGGAAAAGCAGGGGCAAGGCAGCCAGCGCTCGGAAGAGGAGGTTCTCGTTGTTGCCCATCCCCTGCTGGGGGTTAAAGGGCATCGTGCCCGCCAGAGATCGTTTTGGAACTGCCATGTACTCGAGCTTGACGGCACCGATCCAGTTCTCAGAAGCCAGGTCGACAAGAAGATCGCCGGCGTTTGGCAAGATGTGATGGGCGGCGAAGTGATGCAAGTAGTCCTTGACGGCATGGAGTCTTGTGACGAGGTTGGAGGCAATGACGGTGCGAGATGCCCTCAGTCTCCTCGCGTCCTGGTACCTCTGAAGGGCACCGTGAATCTCCTCCCGGGTCGGGCGAGTGCCTTTACACCCCTCGAGGGTTTGTACCAGGGAGTTGGCCAGGGCGGCGGCGCTTTCGATGGCCGAGTTGCCCCCAGACCCCATGTTCGGAGTCATCTTGTGGGCGCTGTCGCCGACAAGAGCAAAGTTTCCATATGTCCAGTGGTCGTAGTACGCTTCCTCCAAGGCCACCATGTTGTACGCCTCGCGTCTCTCCCACAAGTCTCGTACTTTGACAAGTGCACCCGGCATCAGAGGCTGGTCCAGATGCTCCTCCACAAAGGCTCGTGCTTCTTCGTCGGAGAATCGGGGGATGTTTCCTGCTTTGAAGACCTGCGGCATCCGCGCGATCAAGAACCAGTATACGCGTCCGTGTTTGCCAACAATGACAATGGGAGACATGTCTTTGTTGTAGGTGACGTCAAAGGACCGCGGAGTCAGCTCCGGTATAGGAGACGAGATGCCAAACATACACTTGTATTCAGCAGACATTTTGTGCTTTTCAGATTCTGGAATCGTTCCCGGCGACTCTTGATCGGCAGCCCGCCACATTTCCCGCCTCGTGATGCTGTAATTTCCGTCTGCCCCGACGAGAATATCGCCTTCGTAGCTTGTCCCATCCTGGCATGTGACCCTTACTCCATGTTTATAGTGGTCTACCACGGTGATCTTTTTATTAAGCAATACCCTCTTGTCTATAATACGCTTTGCTAGGACAGCGAGGATAGATTGCCGGTCAAGAAAACACATGCAATAATTTGACCGTGCCTGTACCAGCTGGAATGCGTCGGTTTTTGGCCGAATGTAATCGCCAGTGTTGCCATAGTGGCTCCCAGTATAATGAATTGGTTGCGTCAATGCCATGATCTCATCATAACACCCCAGCTGGTCTAGGATGCGACTCCCGTTAGGGCCCAGGCCTATTGACGCGCCGAGTTGCGGAGCGATATTTGATCTTGCCTCAAGCAAGAGGTAATCGATCTGGGCATGTTGAAGGGCGTTGGCTAATGTAAGACCTGCCACGCCGCCGCCGCTGATGAGAACTCGGAATCTTGTTTTTGTCTCATGTATTTGCTTCGTCGCAGTCATGATGATAATCTAGTGGTTCTTTGTGTATTAGCATTGACGAGACTGTATTTCAAAATAAACGCCTCGTGTATAGATGTGGAGGCGGAAAAGTTAAAATGTGCTACAAGGAGTCACATATAACCACTATATATTACGTATTAACAACCTTTAAAATGGGTTAATAAATAATACACATAATGATGTATATTATCGTGACTTTCATCATCTTCTGCCGCGTATCACAATTAGGCATAATAATCAAGCCAATAGTAGACATGCAGCGCAAGGATGTCAATTGTGCTGCTCATGGAAGATGTGCCACGCAGAGGGGCTGGTGGAATCTGACAGAGCAGCCAATGCAACATTGAAGGCCGGCGACTTTTAAAACAGCACTTGAGCCTTATTCCAGTCAACGGCTGGTTTACTCTCCTCAGAAACCCACCGTCTTGTTCTACTGCGCACGTTCTAATAGCCGGATGACGTAGCAGGCGTATAACTAGTACTTCGGAAGAGTTCTTGCTCAACAAAGAGATAGCGGGCTTGCTGTTTCGTAAGCAAAAGGTAAAAGCAACCGCTTTGACTTTGTACCGGCGAGATTTGGCAGACGCGACACATAAAGAGTTTGTGACGTTGCTTGTTGCCTGGGCGGCGAGGTTGCGCAAGTATCAGAGTCGCAACAATGGCCACCAATGACAGTGACGCCGTGTATCTTTTCGAGCGTACTGAGCTGGAAAGACAGAGGTAAGCAAGGGCAAGACACTGCCGACAGCAGAGCCAAAGTTGACAATATGACCCAAAAGATTGAACCAGCAGCATGCGCTTCTTGTCCGCCTATGCCACGACCATCTTCTTCACCGCAGCATACCTCGAGATCAAATAAAAAGAATTGCCGATGTCGGCACCGGAACTGGGTAAGACATGGTGCCATTACCATGCCATGACCGTCTCTACTTCCGTGCATGCTTCAACAAAACGCTGATATCCTGTAGAATCTGGCTGCAACAGGCATCACGATCCCTGAATACCGCCGCGACGGCGGATTCAGAAGCTCCTCCTGTAGCATGCGTCGGATTTGACATTTCCGACGCTCACTTTCCCAGTGCGCCTCGCGAGAACATGACGTTTGTCAAGCACGACATGCTGAAGCCGTTCCCCCAGGAATACCGCGGGACATTTGATCTTGTGCACCTGAGGCTGATGGTCTTGGCTCTCAAGAAGGAGCAGATCGCGACGGCGGCGGAGAATGCAGCCGCGCTGTTGAGTTGGTACCAGGCGCAGAAGACGTTTCCGCACAGCAGGACGCAGACTAACCACGGCCTCAGAACCAGGCGGATATGTGCAATGGTCGGAAGTCGAGCCGGCCAAGCTGGAATTCACGCCGACCACGCCGGCCATCACGGCCGCCAGGGCCGCCATGCGCGCCAACTCGGTTGCCAAGGGACTGGCCACCACTCCGTCGGTCGACATCAGAGCCGCCCTCGAGGCCCTCTCCTTTACCGACCTCACTGTCGAGGACTACAGCAGCGCCGGCAGAGACGAGTTCACGGTTCCGGCGAGGGAGTGGACAAAGGCTGGCGCCAGGGCTGGCCTGCGCGTTGCGCTGGCGAGATCCGGGCAGGACGGGGGTCAGGAAACGGCCGACACGCTCTTGGACGACTACGTGAGGGATATCGATGCCGGCGTGGTGCCGACGCTACCACTGGCCATGGTGGTTGGGAGAAAGGGAAAAGATGTCGCCGTGTAGGATCGAGCGATATGATGGGAGACGGTGCGCGGGTGGGCAGTTGACGTCTATATACAAGGAAGAATGCCAATGATATTGGTGGCCTACATAGAATTCTAGTATCCTACATTAGACTCAGATACAGGCCGTCAGAGTCCGTCCGGGACTCGACTTGCGCGAGGAGTGGAATATAATCTCCCCTCTCGATTCATTTCTCCAGCCGGGGCTGCGCGCCCAGCCCCCTCTCTCAACGTCATTTCATACGATTTGAAAGGCGTAGGAGCCGTTCAAGACTTGTCTGTTGAGGCGGCCAAGGGCGTGGCTCCCTCCCTCCCCTTTTTGTCATTCATCCCGGTCTTGTCCCAACTAAAGCCAAAACTCAATAAAGTGGCCAGCGCAACCGCTATGGCGGGAACGTACTTTGTATCGAGACAGTTAGTTCGTTACTAGAAACGATGCATAAATGCGAAACGGTAGCACGACAAGCGATTGCAGAGAGGCCGGGGCGGAAGGATGCTCGAGGGCTTGGAATATACTCACAAAGACCTTGACAAGGGCGTCGTTGTAGGCCGTGAGGACCGCCGGCAGCTGCGACGGCGACACAGCCTTGTCGAGCTCTGTTGCTCCAGTGCCCGAGATAAGTTTCGGGTCCACGTCAGGGGCGTATTTCCTCAGCGCGGACGGGAGGCCGTTTTGGAATATCGCGTTGCCGACGGAGATGGCAATGGAGCCGGCCAGGTATTGCGAAAGGGGTATGCTGGCGGACACGATGGCGAATTCTTCAGCCACAAGGACCTCCTGGGCCGCGATGACGGGCTGGATAGATTGCTGGCGTCAGTCCTTGGAAGCAGGCTGGTGCCTTGTATGGGAACAAGGCGAAACGAGGAAAGAGGCTTCTCACCATGTTGAGCGCCGTTCCACGCCCAAACCCCGCCAGAATCTGGTACCCGATCCATTTTCCCTCGTTGGTGTCCTTCTCAAAAGTGACCATGAGGCCGGACCCGATGGCCGTCACCATGCTGCCCAAAATGGCCCAGGGGGGGATGTAGTGTAATTTGCGAACTGCAATGTTTCTCAGACAAGACACGGTCAGCATTGACACGTCAATATGAATACGTCTCCGAAAGCACCACACGTTCAAGACGTACCTAGCGCGCCGCACAATATAGCACCGCATATCTGGCTGATGGTGGACGGCAGCATCATCAACCCACTGTCGGTAGGGCTGGCCTGCTTGACGGACTGGAACCACAGAGGCAGAAAGTAGCCCGTCATGATGGTCGTTCCGCCCTGCAGGCCGGATATCAAACACCCAATGTACACGACGCGTTTGCCATGGAGCCCCGGGGGCAGCAGGGCCTCGTCGCCCCGGAACTTGCACCACGCGCAGAAAAGGGCGAGAAAGCCGGCGGCGCCGCACAAGAAGCCAATGACGAGGCCAGAGTTCCACGGGTACGCCGATCCGCCCCAGCTGATGGCGACGAGGAAGAGCGTGCAGGCCGGGGCGAACAAGAGGAAGCCCACCAGGTCCAACTTCACGGGCATCCTTCTCAGCGCCTCCCCGAGAGTCGGCTTCGACGCCGAGTCGGCGACGCGGCAGAGGGACGTGACGAAAATCACCAGGCCCGAAGACGGGAGGAATATCCAGAAACCTGCAAGAGTCGGGTCAGCCAGGGGCGGCAAGCACGGGCGGTTCGGGCGGCCAACATACACCAGCGCCAGCCGGCGTGTTGGGTCAGGGCCCCTCCGATCAGGGGGCCGATGATGCCGCCAATGGAGATCATGGAGATGCCAAAGCCCGTTGCCAGCGGACGGATGCGCGGCGGCGTCGCTGCCGTTAGAATGACGAGGGCGCCGTTGGTCAGGCCGGACGCGCCCACGCCGGCCAGGGCCCGTCCGGCGATGACCATGTGGCTCGAGATGGACAGGGCGCAGATGAGATTGCCGAGTGCAAAAATGGCGTTGAAAAGCAGGTAAGCAGGCTGCGTTGGACGGTTCAAAATCAGCCCCGGGAAACAAAGGCCCGCCGACGCACGCATCGGGGCCGACCTACCTTTGACGGGAAGAGCACGTACGTCTTGCCGGCCAGGGGCTGCAGCGCGCACCTGGTTTCTTAGTTAGCTGGTGCCGGGCTGCTTCAACATGAATTTTCTGTCCAGGGGGGCGTGAGAACGCCAAAAGTCCGACTTACAGGGCGAGCAGGAAGGCCGAGCCATACCAGTTGATGTTGGCGAGACTATGAAAGCGGTCGGTGATGGAGGGGACGGCCTGGGCAGAGAAGATGGAGGCATGCCGTCAGCAAACGGAGGGTGAAGACGAGCGACGATACGAACCGTGGCGACGATATTGATGTCGAGACCTAATAGGAGCATGGCCAGCATCAACGCCCCCAGCAGGTTGTACAGCTGCAGCCCGTGGAGGTGGCCATGGTGCTCTTCGGCGACCGTGACGGCGTGACGGCGAGGTGTTGCTGTGTCTTGGGTCGCGCGTGTCGCAGCAACAGTCTCGTTGTCGGCCGAGAGGCTCATGACAGCGAGCGGATCGGGTCGTAGGGCTGGAGTAGTGTCAATATGTCGCCAAGAGGCTCTAGTAGTTGCCGCAGCAAGGATAGAAGCGAATGTGGATTTGGCGTTTGGTGGCTGCCGTCGATGAATAGAAATTGCGACGAAATCACACCAGGGCTCGGCGCAGAGGCTGGTCCGGGGGCTGATGCATGCCAACTTGAACTCCGGCGGGTTTTCTCTCTGTTCCCCCAGTCGAACTCGCCGGACTCCAAGCCACGTGTACCAGACGGAATCCGGGAAAAGGATTTCAGCCAGAGTCCGGAGTGACTTGTTGGCTTATGGTTATGTCCGGTATGTGATGTACTTGGTATCAAGGCTACATTCCAGCTACCCGAGTGCTTACTTGGGAGATTTACAAAATTACAGCTCATAACCAAGCCGGTCGGCCACCAAATAAAGAGAATAAAAAAGTATCAAGACAAGAGGAAAGAAAAAACATGCTCTCAGACGTGACAAGATCATTGTGGCTCGGGCCATATACCCTATTGCTGCTTATCCCGTTATATGGACTGCTCTTGGCCGTCTTTCGTCTGTACTTCAGTCCCCTGTCCCGGTTCCCCGGACCAAGAATCGCCGCGGCAACATGGTGGTGAGTACATGTAGGCCTTTCCGTGACTCGGCTCCCCGTACTTACACGCGGCCTCCAGGTACCAGTTCTACCACGACGTTATCCGGCGCGGCCGCTACATATGGGTTGTCCGGGACATGCACGCGCGATACGGCCCCATTGTGCGCATCAACCCGAGCGAGCTTCACATCTGCGAGTCGCAGTTTTACAACACGCTCTACGTCTCGGGGGGCATCCATCGGAAGCGCGACAAATGGAGCTGGGACTCGGTCGGCGCCGGCGGCGTCCGCGACTCGGCCTTGTCCACCGTCGCCCACGATCTTCACCGCATGAGGAGGTCGGCCATTGCCCAGTTCTTCTCGGCCCAGAACGTCGACAAGCTGCAGCCCGTCATCCAGTCCAAGGCGGACCTGCTGGTGCGTCGACTGGCCGAGCGTCGTGGCCGGCACACCGTCGTCACCAATCTCAACCATGCCTTCTCTGCCCTGACCAACGGTGAGGATTGCCGATTTGGCCTTCGCCGAGACCACCATCCATGGCTAACGCTTCGCGCAGATGTCATCATGGAGTACTGCTTCGCTCGTTCCTACAACCGACTGGCAGCTCCCGACTTTGACCCCAGCTACAAGCACGCGAGCCACAGAGGCGTGCGGCTCGCACAGATCGCCAAGCACATCCGCCTGTTGGGCTGGCTCGTCACGGCGATGCTGGCGCTGCCCGAGTCCATCCTCGTCCGATGCGGCCCGTCGTTTGAAATGTTCCTCAACGAGCGCAAGGTACGCCTTTCCTTGTCTCCCTATGCACCCCTCCCGCAACTAACCCGTGTGCCGTCGTCGACAGCGTCTCCATCGCCAGATCGAGGAGCTGACGCTCGAGTCCAAGGCCGTGGGCCAAGACGCCTCCCACCTGACCGTGTTCCGCGAGTTGCTGGGCAGCAAGCTCCCGCCCGAGGAAAAGACGCCGGCCAGACTCTCCGCCGAGGCGCAGGTCCTCGTCAGCGCCGGCAGCGAAACAACCGCCAAGGCACTGACGGTGGCGTGCTTCAAGCTGCTCACCCACCCGGCCGTGCTGGCCAGGCTGAGAGACGAGCTGGAAACGGCGTTGCCCTCCTTCGGTCTCGAGTCTGGCCTCCGTCTCGACCAGGTCCAGCGGCTGCCATATCTGACCGGCGTCGTCAAGGAGTCCCTGCGCCTCTCGTACGGCGTGGTCGGCCGCCTGCAGCGCATCTGGCCCGACGAGGAAATCGTGTTTCGCGAATGGATCATCCCCCGGGGCACACCTGTCAGCATGACCTCGTACGACGTGCACCATGACGAGGCCGTCTTTCCAGACTCGTTTGCGTTCCGTCCGGAGCGGTGGGCCGACAACCCCGGGCTCGACAGGTATCTGGTGTCGTTTGGAAAGGGCTCCAGGCACTGCGTCGGCATGAACCTGGCCATGGCAGAGCTGTACCTGACGCTGGCCAAGTTATTTCGGCTGTTTGGGTCAGGCCGTGTCCGGCGGCCAGGGGACCTCGGCCAGCTGGTCTTGTTCGAAACCGACGAGAGCGACATCAGGATGACGGGGGAGGTCCTGGTGCCGTTTGTGAAGCCCGACTCGCGGGGCGTCAGAGTCGTCGTCGAGTCCTGACGCGGCGGCCGATGCAGGCCTCCTGGACGTGCAGGACCATGTATAACCGTGTTCGGCGGGCACATTGTCCAGCACTAGAGTATCTTGCGCAAGGTGATGAATGGCATGACTATTACGTATCTACATAGCTGTCTCTACTCTGTTCTCAAGTAAACGGCAAGGCACCGAGCCATCTTCCCCTGATGGACCGTCTCAGATCCTGAAGGTTCCTGATGAGCCCCAACTCGTGCCCGCGGACATCAGAGAGCATCGCTCTGAGAAACGTTTCCGTTGCCCTGCCCGTAGAGCACCCGTGTGCTTCGTCAACCTGGTATCCCGCCCTGCCCGAGGGCCTGGACGACCCGGCGCCCCAGGAGCCGGCATGGCCTCGGCGGAATGCCGTCTCCGATTCCCAGTTGAGGTCGCCCGTGGCCTTGACGGCGCAGTGGCTGACTGCCGTTTGAAGACGATCCACCATGTCGAGCACCATGTGCAGGATCACGCCAATGTTGGCATCCGGCGACGTCCCCAGGTTGAAGTTGCCGAGGGCAAAAATGGGAATACCAGGTGCGTTGACGGTGGAGTTTGGAGACCCCGTCTGGTGACTATGGCGCAGGAACTGCGCAAGAGACTCGTACATGTCCAGCAGCCGGAGGTAGCAGCTCAAAATCAGGAGCACGGTAGAGTTGTCTGCCAATCGCCACGTGTTTGGGATCGATTCGGAGCGGCAGTCTCTGTCGGTCGCTGAAGAGCATTTACAGGCCCCCGAACCCTGGCTGCACGTGTGACCATCACTGCGATTCATCGTGTGGATGACGTGCATGAGGCTCTCCGTCGCGGAGAACATCTTCTCTATGTTGCCGGCGCAGGACTGTCGATGGCTGGGAGCTTCTTTACTCACAGTTTGTCTCGTGTTGACAGTGCAAATCGATTCGGACAACGAGTACAAATCTCGCTGGATAATAAGGAGATCATCTATGCACGTGCGTGTGTGAAAGGCAGAAGAGGGAGATGTTGGTTGTGTGTCGCCCGCCTCCCCGTCCCCGTCTGCGGCGTCAAGTCGTCTATCCGGGCCCAAGTCCTTCCACTGGCTGTCGAGCTCCGGCGATATGGTCCATTCCGGCATCGACAAGAATCCCACCAAGTGGCCATCCGACGGCGGGGGTGTATTAGTTCCGAGAATAGACTGCCATTGCATATCTTCTTCATACTGACCCCCAGAAGAGGCTAAAGGCAAACAAGTCAAAGGTCAGTATATGCCATTCCAGAATACATAGAGCAGTTTTGAGTCAATGTTTAGTAACGCACAAAGTCCTTGTCCAATGCTCAAATTCAAATAACCCGCGTGTAGGTCTGGCTCGGCAGCAGGCAAAGGAATGGGTCGATGACTCGGCATTTTATGCCGCTCCGAGCTGCCGGTGTCCTTGTCGTGTGTATCTGATTCAATATTGCCCAGCGTCGTCTCACACAAGGTTGGCAGTGAATGTAGTTGCGACTGCGGCGAAGGCGGCAAGATGATTTCTCTGTCGTCGATGTCCTTTTCTGGCTCCATCTCTACCGTGGCAAAGTCGGCATTTTCTTTACTGAGACTGTGATCAGGTGATGATAAACTCTGTGGCTCCTCGGATGTTCCCTCGGTGCTGTAGCTTGAGTTCCGGAGCATACTGTCGATTTCTCTAGATTCACGGCTCCTACATGATTTCCCTCGGGGCCTGCCTACCGGCAGAGGCGGACTGTATGTGCAGCTAGATCCATGCTTTTGGCATCTTGAACACGCTGAAGAGTTGCGGAGCTTGATGCAACGAGATTTGAGATTGTGGCACCTATCACAGGCATCTTTCATGCCCATATTTGCGTTTGGCATAGTGCTGCTGCTATCCATGGACAGTAATGGGAGTTGTGTCGGTTCAACCTTGGGCCATTGGAACAGGATATTGTCAAAGTCCCCCTTCGTCTACAGAAATGCTTGACTCAAGAAAAGAAACACAACGCGTCCTCATGAATTAGTGAGCCTGTGTCACATTACACGAGACCATCCCGTCCGTTGATCACTGCTCCATTAGGGGTTGAGTATCACGTCAACCAACTAGTAAGATACAAGTCCCCAAGCCACGTATATCTCCACTTAGGTCATGAATATACCGACATGGCAGAAGTGGAGTAACCCTGGTAGACTTTGGTTCGTGTCGCATTATGACGACATCTAGAGTTAGAATCCGGCACAGCCCGCGTTTCGCTGGCGTCGGAGTTTGAGGCTAGGAAACGTGCCCGCTGAACCCTGAGCGGACATTAGATTTGTATGGCCGTTTCGAACCCAGATCGAAGACGTGGCCCACGGCCTAGAACGAATGCCAGCTGGAGCCCCAGATTACAGTAATCAGAACCGGGACACACGGCAACGGCGGAGCGGATGACCACCGGCGGCGGTGGCTAGCCCCTTTCTAGCTCGTAGGATGTCAGACTGAGGCTTTGCATTCGACCACGGTATGGATAGTCAGTCTTACTATCCATGCCAAGGTGTGCATGGCAGGAAACGACTCACTGCCGCATCACCGGAGGACAGCTGCGTATTGCGTCAACAGCATTAGCTTTATGTAAAACGCCCGGGGAGCTGTGCTACATGATTTGTCAACTTACTTGCCTGGCGCAAATATCCGTTCTTTATTCATACTCGTCGGCGTTCCTCTCAGCTCCTGATGCATTACGCCACTGGTAAGCCTCAGAATGGCCCGCAGCTGTTGAATACCGTCGGTCCTCTTGGAATCAAACATCAGGTATCAAGAACGTGCTAAGGTTGGGGAGCTTATAGATCATATTATATGACTAAGATGTCAGATTCCAAAAGTCAGTTTTGCTACCGGGTGGGATGATTTGTAATTACAAGAAGGTTTGCAGATATTATGCGGCAATAAGGTTCGAGGTGTCAGCCAAAGGGCAATTAGGTGGTTGACAAGCCATCCTAGGAGACAAAATGTGTCCTCAACGCACGGTGCCTTTCCAAGCATGCGCTGATAGTATCAACGCGGGAGTGAGGGTTGGTGGTGTGAGGGATGGGTAATGGTGCAATCAGTACTCAATGCTTCTTCACTGCATATTACTGCTGCCTCAGACGATACGTGTCAGAACGACAATCTCAACCTGCCGTCCGTACTGGACAAATTGGATGTTAGTGAGCTACATAGGCATAAAGTAGCTGTATAGTAATTACATATAATGAATATGTAGAGTCAACATATACCAGTTGACAGCGTAATCCGGCGACGTTATTCAATGTTAGTATAAGTTCGCAACCCTCCTTGACCGGGATTTATAAACGGCTCTGGAAGTACACAGCCCTGTCAAGCAAAGACCTGACTCGGGAATAGCATCCACCCACAAGTAGGCTTTATATATGGAAAATGCCTCACCATCAAACACATACGACCACAGCCACTAGCAGAGCTCACGATCCCGTCTGATCTCGTACGATAACCTAGTGAGCGCTGGATTAGTAGTTGGGTCGGTGACGACCAGCGAATACCCAGTGTTGTATGTCTTTTTTTTACCGAATCGGATCCCGTTCTTTACAAGACCATAAGGTAATATAAGCCCTGTAGTTTTCACATACGATCACAGCCGCCAGTAAAATTCAGGATCCCGTCCGATCTCCTAGGACAACCTGGCGAGCGCTAGATTAGTAGCTAGGTCGGTGACGACTAGCGAATACCTAGTGTTGTATGTTTTTTTTTTGTCTCTTTTAGCTTCCCGACCCGCTGCTATTACCCTGAGGCGCCATCGTAACACAATGCCAAACACCACCTACTAAAGCGCTATATCTCGCCTCTTCACGGCACAGAACAAATTATCATGTCTGTAATTTTCTCCTCGCGCGAAACCTGGCGTTCCTGATTCAAGTATTTCGTGCGAGCTCGCGACTTGGCTTTTCGCTCTAGCCCTCGGTTACGCGATCTTGATGATGTGGAGTTGGCTTGAGAAACTATATTATAGGAACCCAGCCATCTACTACTACCTGATAGAAAAACAAGAGTCTCTTATACCAAACCAGGTGTCCCAATAATCGCGTAAAGTCCTTGCAGCTCCAGGAATAATACTTAAAGCTCTGTGCTAGGTGAGATGCTTCGCAGACTTTGAGTTTTGTACTTGAATGGAGCAGCATCCCGAAGTCCAGATGGAAACGTAACGCTTACCTCGGCCGAGCCAGCGCTTTCCGGTTCTGTACTTGTGAACAGCGAGATTGCCGGGAATAGTTGTCCGGTTACGTTTTCCAAGGCCTCACCTGTAAAATATCAAAATAATAGCGTCAACCAGTTTGCGTTTATAATGATAGTTTCTAAACTCGACTTGGTGATGCAGGATAAAGCTAGACTTACCAGATTTTTTTCCATCTAGCGTAAACCAAAGCCGCTTCCGAGTTGGGTCGTACACTACACCCACGGTCTCACCAAGACGATATTTCTGACCGGCACCTACGGGATGGCTTTTTCTTAGGAAGACGCCGTCGTCGCTGTGGTAGCCCCAGCTAGACCCCCAGCCCACCATCGTGTTCATTGGGCAGCTTTCCGCAGCTAGGCCGATGGCAATTGTGCTATGGCAACGTGTGAGAGATCAATTGATATGAAATAGATATATATCATGCAGGATCGAGTACAGGCAAAGGAGGCTTGATAAAGAAGACGGGGTCAACGTTGCATACTTTCCTGGGCCACACTCAAGGACTTCAACCTCAAAATAGAAGATACCCTTGTCAATTGGAACACAATAGTCGGCTCGGACGGTGCCCAAGATTTTCTCGTCGAGTGGTGACGGATAGTCTTCTGTAGCTATCAATCTGTTAGTCTCGCTACAAGCCATGTTGATTTAGTCGCACGATACCTTTTACCTGAGCACGCATTCCACCTTCCGAGACAGTAATAGCGTCGCTCCTATCATAGGGGGATAGTCTGGTCGGTTCCCGCTTCGTGATGCCCTCGGTACATCCTAATTGTTGCAGTCGCTCAATCTCTGCACTTGGCAATTCGTAACTTCTCGCAAGGTCCAGGCTCGTCCAGCCACACCGATCTGGGACGTTGAGGTTAATGCCTTGGTTCTCGGTCTCGGCAAAGACGCCATCAAAGGGTTCAATGCCCTGGTCCAACTTGAATAAGGCCGGCATAGCTGCAGATATGTGCGCGGCTCTGCGGTCCTCGGGCAAGGCGGTCAACAACGTATCCATTAACTGTGTCCGGCCGCAGAGGAATGCAAGATATAGCAAACCTCGGCCACATTTGTCATTGATGTCTGCATTAGCACCAGCCTCTAGCAACCGTTGGATAATTTTGTCCGAGCTAACCCTGACGGCAAGATGCAGAGCCGAGGATCCCAGGCAGTCAACTATATCGAGATTAGCCCCCGAACGTAAAAGCGAATCGATGATGCTCTCCTGTTTATAAATATTGGCAATCATAATCGGAGTCCGACCCTCGTAATCTTGTGCATCGATTTTCACGTCTTGTCCGAGGAGAAGCTCAACGAGACCAAGTCGTTGTGACTTGGCATCTTCTGAACCACCACAGACGACATGCAGCGGTGTACCAAAAGGACGACTCATGCCGTTGGGATCGGCTTTATATTTCATGAGAAGCTTGACCAGCTTCTCATTCCCTTTCCACAAGGCAGTGTGGAGTGGCAAGCCATAGTCGCCGCCGCCGGCGTTTGGATTGGCGCCAGCAGTGAGCAGAAGAGTACAAACTTCAACGTCACCTTTTTCGGCGGCCATGATGAGGGGGGTTCTTCTTGTGCCAGTCATTGCAGCCTCCAGGTCGGTTTTGGGCATCGGCTTCAGCACGGGACCGGTAGTGACCGACGAGCTGTTGACGGCGCAAGCGTTTACCCTCGAACCCCCCAAGCCTTCAAACTCGACGCCTGCCCCTTCGTAGGCTGTATCTGTGGTGGCATCATCATCCTGCTCGCCTTGAAGACCAACAAGGGCGCCAACGACCTCTTTGTGCCCTTCCATGATTGCCTCATGCAGTGGAGTGCGTCCGATACTACGCTGGTTAGGGTTGGCTCCGGCTGCAAGAAGTAGTCGAGCAGCTTTTGCGTGGCCATGGAATGCAGCTGTGTGAAGCGGCGACTTGTCACATCTGTCACGGGCGTCTGGATCACTACCTCGGTCGAGAAGGAGTCTTATCGTGTCGAGGTCGTCCCCCTGGCACCGAACAGCTATGTGGAGTGGTGTTTCCCGGTCCCTATTAACGGCACAGGCTGACCATCCGTTATCGAGAAGATAACGAACCAGGTCGAGCTTCCCATGTCCCTTGGGAGCCTGGATGGCCAGCCTTAATGTCCGAAAAAGCCGACGTGACCCTGGTTGCTCCCATTCCAGCAACAGCTTGAACGCTTCGAGATGGCTGGACTCCGCGGCAATATCGAGAGGGGTGCTCCCAGAGTCCTTGCGACCGACGATGTCTTGATTGGCCCTCCGAAGTATCGCACGAAGGCAGGATTCGCGGCCCCAACGAGCCGCGTGATGGATTGATCTCTCATCATCGGCCCATGGAGGACTGACTCCTTTCCTAGTAAGATGCCGAATAAGACGCCGAACAGTATTCACCTTATTTCTGAATATAGCCCAGACTAACAATTTATCGTATTCATTATCGGGAAATGCTGATGGGCTGTTACGGATGGGGGCCTTGAGGACCTCCAGGCGGCTGTTCTCAACCGCCTGCCCGAGGTGGAAATATTCGACGTCAATTGCTGTTGCGAGCAGCGCCACAAGCCCGACATGTCCGTTGATTATGGCCGTACACAGAACCCTCTCCAGATCTTTTGTATCCGTCTTGTTCTCCTTTCTCCCTTCCAATGCGGCCGTGTTGTGCCCCTGGTGCAGTTGCTCTACCAGGTAGCGAACAACGGACAGGTGGCCATTCTCAGCAGCGAGAAAGATTAATGAGGGCAAGGCACTTCCTGTACGTAAAGTGATGCCCTGGGCGCGAATGAGCTCCTGCAAAATCGGGAGTTGACCTTGTTGCGCCGCCACGTGGATCGGACTCCTGGAAGCCTTATAGAGTTGCTGAACCAAAGCCTCAGGCGATTCGCCTAGGACAAGCGCAAATGCGTCTACAACTCCAGCTGCACAAGTCAGTTGTAGAGGATACATCCCTTCCAAGTTTGCGGTGTTTATGGCTGACTTGAAATCGTCTGGCCTGGCGCTTTGGAGGGCTTGGAGAGTATTGCCATCCCCGAGTCGTGAGGCTAGATGTACCGCCGTGTTGCCGGATTCATCGACAGACCTCAGGTTGCACCCTCTTGCTAGTAATATCTCTGTCACTGACGTGTGGCCATTTGCGGTTGATAACAGCAATGGATTTGTGCCCCCCGGTTGTGATGTCAAACGCTCAATATCCGACACATCTGTGGTTTCTAAAATATATTCAAGGATCTCGACATGTCCATGTTCTGCAGCTGCACAGGCAGCGAGCGCCAAACGGCCTGGCCGAGAACTCGGCCGAAGTTCACGGACAACGTTGAGATTACCATGGCTCGCTGCAATCTCAATCGCTCGATCTATTTTTTCCGGTGCCTTGTGCTTGTCAACTTGAACAAGATTGCGTATAACCCTGGCAAGTCCAATCTGCGCTGCCAAGAAAAGGGGGTCGCTGACGACATCTTCTCTCCGTCCGGTTGATGGACTATAAGTCTTCTCATAAGCGGCCGAGACAAAAGTTTCGTTGCTCTGATCCGCGCAGAGGCAGATGTAACGCAACACCTTGTCATCAAGAGCACCAATAGTCGGCATATGAAGATTGTAATGATCTACCCAATAAATTTGCGCGTACTCACGCAAGGCCAGAGCGGCACAGGTAGAGTCTGGGTGCAAGGCATCACCTTCCCGGCACAGCGAGATTTCACGCGCTTGCGTCAAGCAGAGTGATAGATACGAGATGCATCGGTCCGCTATATATCCGTGGAAACCGGGTATAGGGGTGTCGACGCATGTCTCAAGATGACTGCGAAAAGTTTGACTTGGTATCGTAATATGGCCATCGACAATTTTGACACCGAGACTCAAGGAATCGCCGAGATCCCCCATGACATCCCAAGAGACGTTCTCGGCAACTTCGCTGAATGTCAGATTTCCTGCAGCTCCAACATTATCCTCGGCATCAGTTCCCAGCGCTAGAGCTACCGCGAGTTCCGAGATGGTGAGTGGGCGCAAAGCATAGAAGATCCAGTTGATAGCCAGCTTGGCTCGTCGTTGCTGTGCCAGTTGTAGCCCACGGACAGTTGCGCTAAATGCTGTTGTAGGGAGCGTAGACAAGAACTGCTTCAAGGCAAGTTTTGTAGAAGGGATATGGCGTTGCTCAAGGAGTTCCAGGTTTAACATGACATCATGGTCAATGCTATCTTGTCCACCACAGAGTTTCTCAACAATAAGTTGTTGAGGTTCCTTCCAAACAGGCCTCGCACGTGCAATGCTTGAGACTCTCTCTGCTGCTATATCACGGATGACTCGTCTCCAGCCATCGTCTTCGAGTGAAATTGCGTGGAAAGCGATGTTGGATGTCCTGTTACATGGAGTAGAGGTTGTCATGATGAGTTTCAGTGGCACCGATATTGACCTAGAGGCTGCAAGGCTACTGAGCTTCGCAGAAATTTGTTCACCGCACTCGTCTACTGAGTCCACCACGAAGAATATGAGGGTGTGTTGTAGGATTATGAGAAGATGGTGAAACAAATCCCAGAGCCGCTGAGGCGAGACCATTGGTCCCCTGGAGTATGCCTCGGCCACATATCGAGCACGGATGAAGAGTTCTGGCTTTAGGATTAGAAGCTGCCGAACCGCTGAAGAAACTAGACATTGTTCTGAGTTCCGACGTGCATCCCAGCGGTGGAAACTGAAGCTCAAGAACAGCGTGTTTGAGCCTGGGTACATGCAACGCAAGGAGTGCATGATATGGGATGCGACGTATTTGTGACTAGAACCTGGATACCATCGCACAGCAAGCACACTTGAGCCTGGATCTTTTAACCAGGCCTTGAAAGACAAATGGCCGTCCAAGTAGGCTCTAGGGCCTGGGGGTGACGGGACGAGACTGATGTTACAAATGTCTGCATCCGGACGAGCAAGAGCCCTCTGAAGCATGTGGTACCCGGGGTCAAGCCCTAGTTTCAACCGTCCAGTCAGTCCTGCTACTTCATTCCAAATGAGGTGACTCACGGATCGAGGCTTCTGTTAGTGAAGTCCTAATATCGCAAATGATGTCTTCTTCTATCGGCTCTCTCCCTTGGGAATCACAGGGCCCATCACCAGGCAACTGTGAACATAGGTCAGTCGGCAAGGGCACATTATGGATCCCTACGAGAGCAAGGGAAAAGAAGCGCTGGTTGTACACTTACGTATGCATGCCCAGCGGCCACCCCGTAAAGTTTCTGGTTGAGTGCCCCGGAGATGGTGGAGAATTGAACTTCGAGATTTGCAAAGGCTGTCGACCATTGCTCCAGTTGTGAGGAAATGCCCAGTGGGATGCAGAGCTGTCTCCATTGCTTCGGGTCATAGTATGGCGGCGGCTTGATGAGATGCTTTTGACTGAACATTAGCAATCGCAGCGTGCAAGGCGTGGAGAGTATTTTCCAGTAGAAAACTCACCAGTGCAACGGTTTGAAACAGTATCCAGTGATTGTGAACATCTTTCGATACGAGCAAAAGAACCTGTTGGCCATGGATTAAATCATGTTGTTGAAAGTACAAGACCAAAGAGCCAAGGTAGCCATACATGCTTTACCAGAGGGACTCCAATATCCTGAGCAACAAAGATGATGCGTTTTTGCGAAACACCTTTACTTGTCGGCTCACAATCTGACGCTCCGTTGTTATTGAAGCGCTGCAACTCCTGGATAACTTTCAGAGCTTCTCGAAGGAAATATTCGTCCGCGGTGCCATGGGCTTGGTCGCCGGCCCAGTTGAAGCTCAAGAAGTCTGCTTCTGGGAATTCTCCTGCAATCCAGGCCGTCTCAGACGCTTCTTGGCTGTTCCAGGCCCAGGGCGTGGTCCTATAGCCAACGCCAACGCCGTTCGCTAGCACGATCCTGGAGATTTTGGTTAGATAAGCATCAGAGAGATTGGCATCGAAGGTGGTGATTCTCACAAAGCCATATTGACACGGATACTGAGTTGGGATATTCGACGACGACGATTCTATTCAGCTTCCGTCACACGATCAGGCCACAGACAAAGGCTGGTGTGACAACAACAGTCATGCAGAGTATTACACGACCACTTTGGCAGCCTTGGGCTTTCAACCTCGTCCAAGTTCTTGTATAAAGAAAGCTTTATGAGACCAAGCGCTTTTGATACCTCAACGCAGATGGTTAGGTTGAAAATGAACATCGTTCCGTGCCCTCATATTACACGGTTGGCACACAACAAAGGGCGTTGGGCCAACAAAGTTACACAACAACAAGGCAACGGTCACGAGGACCGAAGTCGGTCATAAGCGAGGGCTGCCTCAGGCACACAGCCCTCACCGAATTCCTGTATTTGTAGGGACCTCCCGTCCCTCAAGGCCTCGTGCCAAACCAAGGACCTTTGATAACCCAAAGTCGATTATTATAGATTGAATTGAACCCTCTGTTCCAAGCCCACTTATCCTGCCCTTGTCACGCCTTATCACAGCTTGGTCCAGCCAGGACCGCGGAAAGCAACTTGACGCGAGTTGGCGGACGGGCCGGGCAACCGGGGCCGATGAATTGGATTTACGGCATGCATGTACGGTTTGACACGACGGCCAGTCTACGTTGGCCAGCACCATCTCGAGAAACGCGTGCACGATTACTCTCTTTGTAAACGATTCATTTATTCATGTCACACTGGACCTTTGCCCGTTCCCTTGATGCTGCTCAGTAGGTGGCATTCAGCCGCATATCCAGGTACTCGCTGCTATTAATAGGCTCATACTTCTTTGGTCGTTCCGGCCCCCAGCAGCCCGGTATACAGTCAATTGTAGAGTCAATGTCCGGGGCTACAAAGTATGGAATCGAGTACCTCTCGCGAGTCATCCGCGGTTCGCCCTCTTTCAACGGCTCATCAGCAGGAGGCGTACGAACGTGATGCAGCGTAGACCGCAGCACGTCGTTGCTCCATCTCATAAGTAGATCGCCGATATTGACAACCATTGTTCCTGGGATATAGGGCGCTGGGTTGAATTTGCCCTTTTCATGGATATCTTCGACCTCGAGTCCGCCGACTTGGTCCTGGAAGAGCATGGTTAGCGTACCGAAATCGGTATGGGCACTGATACTTTCTAGTTTGCCGGTCGCGAGGAGCTCTTCTTCGGCAGGCGGGTAGTGCAGCAGGCGGATCTGGTTTTGCTTGGTCTTGTGGTAATTGGTAAAGAAATCCTCCTTCAGGCCCATGCCAACGGCGATAGCGCGGAGCAGTTGCAATTCCATTTCGTAGCATATCTCGTAAAACTGGGTGAAGAAGTCGCGGAACCCGGGGATCACGTCATCGGCAGGCCAAATGTTTCGCAGCTTTCCCTCTGCACCCATTTCGTAGGATTCCTTGAAGTCTGGCTTTTTACGTTGGTTGGCGATGCCCTCCTCGTCAAAGACCATCTGGGAGACTTTTTCGCGGCCGATACCCGAGTAGCCTCGGTGATACCATCCTTCTTGAGGGTGGGGAACCTTGTCCTTTTCGCTTTGTGGCAAGGCGAAGAAGCGTTGGCTCTGGCTTCTGGTCAGATTCGTGTCTAAGCTACGTGTAAGGGAACAACTTGGATACCCATCGGAATGCCTCGTCTACCACACTCTGCGGCACTGAGTGGTTTTTTATGTAGGCGAAACCAAAATCCCTAAACGCTTCGTAGATTTCTTTCCCGATGGTGGCAAAACTTTCGTGCGTGCAGTCATCTTGAAGAAGAGGGCCAAAATCGATGATGGGGATTGCATGTTGCTGATTGGCTATGCCGCCCATGTTATCGCGTGTGACGTTTGAAAGCGCCAGGTTATAAGATATATGATGAATCCAAAATTAGACTCCCTGGCCAACTTGGGTTGTGGTTGTCGCACTTGTACGAGCGCAAAAATAGAGGAGAACAAGTTGTGTTCATGGTTCAACTCACAAGGTGCGGGGTCCAATCCTGCAAATATTTCGAGCAATTATACACATGGATTACTAATATTACTATTCTATGTGGGCGGCGAATACATGCTCACCCAGGTGCCCATTTGATATTACGCGGTCTTTTCTTCCTGGAATGACGATCTGAATGCCATAGTTGATGGGTCAAGTGCCAGGTTCGAAAAGGTGGCGCATAATAACACACGCCTGAATCACTTAGCCTTTCCAGGTTGGGATGTAAGGGAAAGTAGGCCATGGACCAAAATGGATTTTAGCGACTATAATCATCAAACAACTAGTTACAACACAACCCGAATAGAAGCTATAGCCTCAGTCAGATGCCTTGAAACTTGGACGCCTCATTTTCTTCACGACGGGGATTGATTGGACAGCCCCCTGTTCAGAAAACAACAGCAATTTGCATAGCGGAATGACGGTGTTTTTGGGAGGATTACGACCGCCTTTATTGAGTTAGTTCTCTGATATTCATGATGACTGGAGAACTTGGTAGAGGACCCTGAAAACCCGGATGCAAGAAGCCACATTTAGAATGGGATCTTGCTACCGTCCCATTTTAAGAAAGCACCAGTATCTTCATGTGAGATGGAGTCGATGATTTTCATCAGTCCCTTGATGCAGGTTTCCATATCATCCTCTCCGTCCCAGCCAGTCAGCTTAGTATACAAAAAGCCAGGTTCTACGCATATAATCGTAGTGTTACGCCCCTCTGACTCCCACACTAGAGCTAGTGTACCTGATACTTGATTCAATGCATTTCGCAGTACGATACGCTAGACACGTTCCGAATGTATTTACTTCATGATGGATTATTAGCTTATAGTATGGTTCTTTTTAATAAGCAAGGGACAGGATGGTAATAAAGGGGCTACTTACTCGAGATAGAGCCAAAAGAAGATGATATATTGATGACCTTTGGATTCGTGGCCAGCTCTAGTTGCGGCAGAAACTCAGTCATTGTAAGGTACGGGCCTGTATCGCAATTTACTCAGCAAGCAACTTACCCCAGATAGCAGGAGTCAGGTGGTATCAACTTACAATCGTCATAGCACGAAGTCTCTCGAGCATAAGGGAGCTTGTCTGATCTTTCCATGGCTTTGGGTTCGGTGGGAGACCTAACTGCTTGTGAGGAATGGCACCTGCGCTGGGGGAGGGGATGCGTGATTACCTCCAACATTGATGAGGACATCAAGTGGTTTGTTGCCATACGCTCTGGCGGCAGAGGCGATTGACTTCTCATCCAAGAAATCAAGCTCCAGAATGGTCGCCCCTGTTTCCTCCAACTACATCTGCGCTTAGCCCGATTCCATGAGAACAATACGTGGCGTGTTCGTGTTGGAAAGGCGGACCGTACATCTCGAAATGAGGAGTCGAGGCGACTCTTTGGTCTTATGGTGGCAAAGACGTTGTATGATTGGCTGAGGAAGGCCTTGGTCAAGTTTAGACCGATCCCACGGTTTGATCCTGCATCCAGAATCAGCAACTGTTGGTTGTCTCGTAGCATCCGCATAGGGTCGGGTGTGTATGTAGTTACCAATAATCAAGACGTTTGTGGTCGCCATGGCCGTTTTTCTTCCAAGATACTTGAATGAGCTTCAAGAATTCTATCTTGGCTTTGTGTTGCATATGCCTTTTCTTCTCTCGTTGGCGCAATTTTCACATGAGGCTTTTCTGGGCCTGGAGAAGCTTTGTGGATGCCCTCATGCCCTCCTTATCACGGCGAGTTGGGACAAAGACGCATACATGGAGTGGGGAACCCTGTGGGCATGGACCACCTCAGCTCTGGTAGATTCTGACATGTTGGTTGCATAGTAGTCGATATGAGCACACAGTCGAGGACGTTGGAATCAGTCGTTTGAACATTGGAACATCCGCACAGCGTGCATATCTAGGAGTCGTTTGAGCCTTTTATTCCAGAACACGTATGCTAGTGAAGGATTCTCATATTCAAATAAAGGTGCTTTAGGATAGGTTTCAATTTCCAATCATCGGACTTCTCTCGTCATGGAGAGGGCGCTTTGAAGGAGATGTAAAGTAAGTGCGTTGCTTACTTACTCTGGCCCAGGTGTAAACTTTTGGCCGAAAAATCATCCATTCATTTCCTGCGGACATGTGCTGATTGTCGTTACACAGAAAGTGATCACATCAGTATTTGCGTATATGCAGCCGAGGAAAAGGCTGCGCAGGCCAAGATTTGGACCCAGCTTCTTGTTCTTCCTCATTACTCTTCCTTTAAGCACACATTTCAGAGACAATGGCTTTGAGGGGTTGTGTGCCCTCTTATTCGCAAAGATCACTTGCCTGCTTTATAGTATTCAAGCATTATTATATTTTACGGTACAGACACCCGTGGCCTAGTAACCTTGAACCTAGACTCTAACTCCATGTCTAGCTGTTGGATGGAACAACCAGCACCCAATGTCTTGTCACAACAGTATCACGGAAAATGGTGAGCCCAGTAGGGTAAATGTGGGAGAAGTCGTCGAAAAATACCGGCCAAGACTCGAAGCCTTTTCCAACTTCTATAAAGAGATACATCAGGACCCTGAAGTTTCGGGCCTGAAATCTAGGACGGCGGAAAGGGTTGCAAAGCATTTGGAGTCACTCAAACACCAGGTTCACCAGCATATTGGCGGTTATGGAGTCGTTGGAGTCTTTCGAAACGGTCCTGGAAAGGTCATACTGCTACGGGCTGAACTGGACGCTCTACCCATTGAAGAGTTAACGGACTTGCCGTACAGTAGCAAGAAGCGCATGGTGGACCGTTATGGCAATGGCCGGCCCGTCATGCACGCATGTGGTCATGACATGAATATGGCGGCGCTTCTCGGTGCGGCTGCCCTGTTGCGGGCTGCAGCCGCGGAATGGAGTGGCACTCTTCTTATTGTTTTTCAACCCGACGAGGAGGAGACGGGGGGAGCGCAGGCTATGATTGATGATGGACTATACAACCTCATTCCAGTGCCGGACCTCATGCTGGCTCAACACGTGGTTCCCTCAGCGACAGGTTCCGTATCTATCCGCTCCGGCCCGGTGTTTATAGCTGCAGACTCCATACGTGTTCGAGTTGTTGGCGGTCCATGCGAAGGGACTCTAAATCCTCAGCAATGTGTGGATCCTATCCCGATCGCGATGCGCGTTGTTCTTGGACTTGAAGACGCCGTGAGGGCTGAAATCGGGCCAGACAAAGACGTCACGGTTGCTTGCTGGGGTTTTCATGCCGGCGAACCAGGCAATGACTATGTTGCCTACGCTGACATTCTCCTTGATGTAAAGACGATGGAAGCCAAGGTTAGACTACAAGTGCACGAATTCATCAAGCGCCGATTTCGAGAGGCGTGTCACGAAGCTGGTATGCCTCGGGAACCAATATTCGACATCAAGGTTCGTGCTCCTCTTACGAGCAATGACGTGTTAACATCGGATGCAGTTGGAAAGGTGTTTAAACAGATGTTTGGAGACAACGCTCTGGAAATGGAGCTCACACGTGCGTGCGAGGACTTCTCGACACTGGGAGGCGGTCATAACGTGCCTTATGCGTACTGGAACTTTGGGGGAAGTGGAAATACGATCGCAGGCGCTGTCGCTATAAACCACTCCCCCTACTTTGCTCCCATTATAGAGTCGACTCTCCGCACTGGGATAGATGCTATGGCACTGGCTGTACTGACGTTTTTGGCCAGGTAGGCTGTCAGCGGGCTTGTTCAAAAACATTAGCATCCACCAGGCTAGCGAACAAGCAAGATTTCTCGACTATCAGGCTGAGAAAGGCCAACCGTGCCAAGGTTGATCTGAAGATACGGCACTCGTACCGTCACTATCAAGCAATCGGCTCAGCAGTAGCGTTACCATGTCTTATTGAGCAGCTGTAGATATCTTGCGTGGAGACATATAAAGGTCTTCATTGACCCTGCATAAAGCTTCAATTCAAGACCAAGTCAACTATGGATTTGGTCACTGGATTGCCACTTGGTGATGGTCAGAACAGAACACTCACACATACGGTGCCCGTACGTTTACTTATTGTAGTTTATAAACGGATGCTTTGTGGCGACTCCAGACAGAGCAATTCGGCGTCGTCTTTGCACTTTGAGCGTGCGCCAACCGATGGAGACATCTGCACTCTTGCAGCGACGGCGGATAGGTTTCAGTTCCTTGAGCTTTACACTTTAAGTTCTTCCTGATTATGTTTATAGGCTGTTTCGCGGCATGTGTGGCATTAGGCTACGCTAATCCGAGCGTCGACCTTTCGGCTCAGCTTCACGGCAAGACTAGAAAGGGACAATATCAGATTGATTGACACCAGACTTATTAAATGAAAAGTGCCTTCTTACCCTACATGTGACAAAGGACACCAGACCCCACATTTGCTGCACTGCTAATGAAGTCCGAGGTCCTGGTTGGCTGAAGGAAAGTGGAGACCGGATTAGCATGCACCCGACTTCGTACCGAAGTTGTCGAAAATTATGATCGATCCCCATTCGGCACTTCAGTAGCGACCGACACGAGAGCGTGTTTAAGGAGGAAAGATGCCTCAAAATGAGTATATGGAGAGGTGGCGCAAGCTACATGGCCAGCGGTATGCTGAAATCATCCAGTTTCGCCGCTTTCCGCCTTCACACAATCCAAGCTGACAAGAGCAATAGCCTCGACACCCAGGAGAGAGTCCGCAAGCGTCTCGCGCGTGAGAGTCACAGACGGTCATACGATGCCCAGAACTTGCGAGGCCACAGGGCCAAGATGATGCAGGAGGCCAGGCGAGTCGAGAAGATCCAGATGCGGAAGAAGATCAAGGTGCACGAGGAGCGCAATATCAAATCAGACGACCCATCATCCCTACCCTCAGAGCCCGTGCCCAACTACCTTGTAGACCGCCAGAACGACCCTCGCTCCGCCAAAGCTTTATCAAGCTCCATCAAGCAGCGCAGAGCCGAGAAGTCTGCACGATATTCGGTTCCTTTGCCCAAGGTGCGTGGCATCTCGGAGGAGGAAATGTTCCGCATGGTTACGACAGGAAAGAAGACGAAAAAGAAGTCGTGGAAGAGGATGATTACGAAGCCCACGTTTGTCGGCGAGGGATTCACAAGGCAGAACCCGAAAATGGAGAGGTTCATCAGGCCGTCCGGGTTGAGACAGAGGACAGCCCACGTCAGCCATCCGGAGCTGGCCGTCACCATCAAGGCCCCAATTCTGAGCGTGAAGAAGAACCCGTCGAACCCGCTGTACACCCGGCTCGGTGTCCTGACAAAAGGGTGTGTTATTGAGGTCAACACGAGCGAACTGGGCTTGACGACCGCATCCGGCAAGGTTATTTGGGGTCGGTATGCGCAAATCACGAGTGAGTACTACGAATGCCGCCCTTTTACCACGATCCGCAATCTCTAGTTTTCTGGCTAATTTGAACCGTTATAGATGACCCTGAGAATGACGGTTGCGTCAATGCGTAAGTTATGTGCATGTTGAAAGATGATATATGAATCTAACGTCGTCGCAGGGTGCTGCTGGTGTGAAGAACAGGTGGTTTCGGGAGATGGGAGCTGTCACGTTTCGGTTGAGCTTGACCCTCATATAAAAGTCGGAATGATGTCAACGTCCTAGATTAAGCGCATTTACGAATATACAAAAGTTAATAAACAGTCATTTTACCCTTGTGAATTGCCTCCTGCCGTAACATTAGGCCCCTGTTCAAATTTCAGCGATATTAGACAGGGATCCTAACGATCGCTTGTCATTTCATGACAAAAAGGGCTCGAATAGGGACTGAGGCGCCATCCTTATCTTTATCCTCCATAATAACTTGATTTGAATCCCAGTACCTCTGGCCTCATTTGCGTTAAACAACCTTGACTTACAGACCCTCCGTGTTTCTGTTGCCATTACGGACAACTCTCAAGAACCCGCCTCGGGCGCGATCCTCGTCCGGTAGTTGCATAACCTCGTAATGTGTCTGATATTTTGTCTCTCGGAGTAGTCATTGTCTCTGCGGGTCGAGATGGCCCGACTACACGGTAGGTCTCAACAAGAGCCCGTCGAACCGCCTCAAGCCTCCTCCATTTCGTAAATCGGCCGACTCGTTGCTACACGTGTTGGGGGTCTGCGGGCCAAGGAGAGCTCTATTGTCATGTACTCCGAGTTTAGTTGACTAGGTTTATATCAAGCTTCGCTTCCACCACGGTAAAACTGGAGACCGTAGCAGCGAATTCCGGCTTCCCCGTCTTGCTAGACGATCTAGAGCCAGGGGATCGAGTGGTGGCGTTAACCAAGCATACCTTCATGTTGGCTTCTTATAAGCACAAACAAGGCTAAATACTTCCGCGACATTTATTTGGCACGTCATTCGTATTAAAGGCATGGTAAGTGCCAAGTTTGCCTTTATGCCGCCAGTTCCATGCCGCAGAAGACCTTCCTTGCAGCTTCAGAATAATTATCTCGTGACATTATATGCTCCCAGACGCCGTACTTAAAGACGATTAAAGAGTATATATCTAGACCATAGCCATAAATGATATAGTATTGCAGGGATTAATTTCTCTTTGACAATTTACCCAAGACGCTCCTGCACTCTACGCCTAGATTATTGCCAGTTTATAGAGGGTTATGAAAAGGGAAGACGATCAAAGGGCGGATAGTGCATGCTTTACTCTTACGTAGTATTATTTTAACGGCTCAAGAACCAGGCTGTTGGAACGTGACCGTCTGTATTGGCTATTAAGAGCTGCATCTCTGCAACACCACCTACATGTACCGCAACTCGTCCAGCCACGGGACTGACCATTGAGCCTGGCACGCCTCTTCACCCGCCGTGGTTCTGCGAGGAAGGGCCATTATTGAGTTTCATCTCGACTGAGGTGGTAATGGCTTCCTTTGAGGAGAGAGCATGTAGGGGTGGCCGGTACTATAAAGTTTAAGCACCAACGAATAACTGATGCTCCCCATTTCAAAAGCCTGCTAAATCTATAATAACGAAATGATCGAGCTTCCTCTAAGCCGTGGACCGATAAGGCTTCCAAGGGCTAACGCCAGGGTCTAATTACTACAGGACGTATTAGCGTTGACGAAGAATCAGGTTGTGAAAACTTCTTATCGCCTTTACTTCTTAGATACGCGTGCGACATATCCCTTTGGTTCTCAAGAATAATCACTTATGGACCAAGATAATGGGTAGCTGTACGTAGGATATTTGATCTTCTGATATTTAGGCCGGGATAAGCCTTTAGTAAAGTCGACTTTAACGGGAGAAGTGCTATTTTTACGGCCTAAATAGCCGGGGATACGGAGCTGGTATTACATACCCTCACCCTTCCCGGCAGTAATTCCACTTTGGAGCTAATATCAGCGAGGAATAATTCAAGCAGACATAACACACGAAAAGTCCCTTCCAGTTTATAACAAAAACTATATCTGATTCTTCATCTACAGATCTTAGAACTTTTGAGACAAAGTTATTGTGGCTTGGTAAACGCACAATTAAGGTACACCGCGGGCTGTCGTTAGGTACATGGAGCTCCGATCAAAGGCCTTTCCAACTCAGCTAAGACGGACGAACAGATAGCTGGGAAACTGCAAGCATCCCGTGTTCCGTCGTAAATACGGCCGCAAAACACAGCAGCCTCTCCAAACTAAATCTAAAGAAGAGTCCGCAGAATTCAAGAGGCGCCGCTCCCTGCTGACTTTGGGGGGAACTGTTCTGGCTTTGAGTAGCTTTAACAGTAAGTAGAGCATTACGTATTTTAATTCGTGCAGTTTTACGACGTTAGCTTCTCATGTATTGTCGTCACGAGGAATTCCGAACTAATATACAACGCATTTTAGTATCAGTAGTATATTATTTAAGTATCGAAATACTATACACTATGTGCGGTAAAAGTCTACTAAGAGCTTTATGATTTTCTCGGAGCTATGTATGACTCCATGGAGCTCTTTTAACTTTGAGAGCCAAGATTCCAAGCCCAGTCTGCAGGCTTAATATCGGCTTTCCAAAAAGTAAACCACGAGTCGTGAGTTTTGCGAGCCTGGGCGGTGACGGTAGTTCCAGCGCATTGCAGGGTTAATGTTATATCTAGGAGACGCAACGTGTTAGCAAGAGCAATGCGAAGAGATCAAGGAATGAGTTACATGCCTTGGAGCTTGAGTTCGTCCGTGCCCACGCCCCCGTTGTCCACACGATCGGCAAGTCTCACGTAATCGATATCGCCAGGAGTAACTGGGCTCTTGTCAAACGCATCTTCAAGGTTGATCTCCTTTGTCATCTTGTCCCCCTTGTCAGGCGATGCCTTGAGCAGATAGTGAGGCTGTCCACCGTCCCATTTCGAGCTGTGCCCGATTTCGAGGAACAGTCGATCGTCGGTCCCGGCCCAATCGATATTGGCTAGCTGTACATTGACTGTCAGGTTTCCGATGGCGCAGCCTTTATACCAAGAGTCGGGAGCAATGTAGGGCTGAGACTCGGTCCGAATATCTAGCCATTGTAGTTGAGAGCGGCAGCATTCCTCTTCGGTCTGAACGGATTTTGCACAGCAACCTCGAATGTAAAGCCACTCGTCTGGCGGAGCAACGGGAGATTGAAGACTGGGCGTGCATTTGACAGGTTCCCGGCCCTGTTCACACTCATTCTCGGGCTTCTTTCCCGACGAGTCGCAACGAAAGGACTTGACTTGGTCGTTGAATGATTCCAGCTTCTTGTCGCT